CAGGGGTCATCACTGTTGATAGACTGCTGTGACAGAAAAGGTTCCTTTTCCTATGCACAGTCACATATATACATATGTATGTGTGTAAATGAATAATGAATCAATAAGACGAATATGAATAACATTTAAATTATTTTCTAATAGTTATATAATATATTTCCGAGTAGATACAGGGTCGCCACTACCTTTATACTTTCACGCATGAGTTGATTCATAAAATTATATGATCAAATTTTAAATTATTGTTTTTATGACGAATATTTAGTCTGTTATTGTTGACAAGATCGTGGCTACACTAATATCATGGATTATATATCTATAGTCATGGTATTCATGATTATGCATACCATGGATTTTGGATTATGGTATGATTATGGATAGCATAATCTATGGTATCCATAATCATGGTATCGATGATTATGATATTAATCACTGATGTTATAAGATATTTTTGTTATATATGTAGAGCGGGGACCATAGCAGACAACAAAATATATAATATCTGTGAATATTATTATTTCGTCACTTTATAAATTAAAATAAAAATATTTTTAATCCTCAAATGTACATTTACTAAAACGGTGTCTTTAAAGCGGACGGTAAGCAGAAACATGTAGGAATTATGCGCCATATTCTCTTACAAAGCTTTTTCTCTTTAAAATCTATACTAAAAAAGCCGGCAAGCTTTTCTCCTTAATTTCTTTTCATGTCATGGCCATTTATAAAATAATGTTTATATTTTGAAAAGTGGGGTACGAATAATTCACTCCTGCTATTACATATTTTTGCACATATCCTTAACTATTGCGTATGTGCATTACACAATATATTAAAATTAAATACAAAATTTTGAAATAGTGCATTTATAATTTTTTTCATTTATTTCACCGAATAATATTCATTATTTTTAAAGTTTTATATATTATTTATAAATATGCGTAAAAACATTTGTAGCATGCGCACTGAAATTATTATTTAAGGCATTATTTCTAATTTTCACAACAAACAGTTTTTTTAAAATATTTACATTTACATATAATTAAATAATAATAACCTTTATAATTTTACTTACTTTTATAAAAATGTAAGAGTTTGCAAACTAAAAACTTTTATGTATTAATTAATGGCCTTTCAAAACATTTCTTGTCTTTCTCTATTTGTTAATTAAGCAATACTTTTACTATTTCATTTCATTAATTATTTATTATCATTTATTATTCGATAATATTCAAACATAATAAATATAATTAAAATTTAATTTTTTTTCTTTTCTCTCAACACACATAACATTATTATTTATTATTTACTATTTGTTTTCCTTCTCCTACAATTGGTTATCGGACCAAGGTATTCACTGACTGCTAAATAGTCCTTTGTTTACAATATTTACTACAATGTATCCACGTGCTCACTTAAGTACTAAAGTACTACGAAAGCTAAAACACTAAATGAGAGAGTATACCAAATCTGATTTTGCATTAATTTCGCACAAACCGAAAGTGAAAAATATATAAATAAAATACGCGCAATCTCAATAAATGTATAAACAACTTTTATCATTTAAGAGTCTAATAGTTTACATCTCTTTTAAAGGTAAGAGTAAACTTCCGCATAACTCGATTATTTTGTTAAACATTGCGTAAAATGCGTTACAGTAAATTGTGACGTGTAAAAATCAAGTTAAACTATGTCCACAACTTATAATTAACCGACGTTAATTCTTATTACACTACATTATAATTATTATCGTTTACACTACATCAGTTAAACTTGCAGAAAAAATGTTAAAAATTAAATAGATAGTACAATTAAATGCAATACTAAAAATTATATTTCAGATCTACATAAATTTTTATATTTAGAATTGGTATTATTGGTATTATTTTTAAGAGGTTTATTTAAATACAACATTTACTGAACAAAAACTAATATTGTATAGTTATTTTATTATTTTTAGACTATATTGTAAAGGCTGGTTTCCATCACCTAGATTCCTCCCTTAAATACAGTAAGTAACAGTTCGTTTACACTGCTTACTTAGTAAGTTAAGCTTTCATTAACCATACAAAAAGCTTCCGTGCTTTTTTACTTACTTTAAATTAAAGTAAACAAAATACGACCAAAATAATATCAAAAATGACGAAAGCAACATTGGAAATGGAAATGATCGCAATTTGACATATTTGACACAAGAAACAAAAAGTAAACAAAAACAAAAAATCAGGCAAAATGAGTGGGAATATGTGGAGTAAATGCAGTGAACAGTTATTTATAGTAGCCACATTATGGAAGAAACACGGTTGATAAAAAGATGCTAGAGATAGTTGATAGACTAATCAATTTTGAAAATGAAAAGAGGATATCCGCACGAAAGTATCGTAACAGACGTAGTGACTAGTCAATATATTAATTTCTTTTTAATTTTTTAATTCTTTGTTTACTATCAATATAGTTATAATGTATTTTATTTTTAATTTTTTATAAATCTTTATTTATTATAAATGTAAGTATAGTGCATTTTATTTTTAATTTATAACTTATTAGTGTTAATATTAGTTGAAATAAAACTTACTATAAATTAAATAATTTGTATTTTTTTATAAATTATTGCATGTTCTTTTCTATATGCAACATTTTCTTTTTATTAATTTTTTGACACATAAAAGCTCTTTCCCATTCCTTAAGTAACTTTTGCTAATGTTAACGACAAAAAGCTCAATGTTACTAAGTAACTTACTAAGTAAGCGGTAGAAACGAAGTATAATTATATAGTTTCGAATGAATTTTCTAGTTGAAGTTTTAATGACTCAATATTTTTAACAAATCTTTTAAAAGTAAACACACATAGTAATATTTATTGCGCAGCATTCAGTTTCAAACAACTTTTCATTTTAAAATTTCATAATAAATAACTTTTTATAAACATTTTTTATTAATTAAGTTATTTTGCTTAATTTATGAACTATTTAATAAAGTGAAGCACAAATTTGTATACCTCATTTTTAACTTATGCTTCATGTACTGTGATCACTATTCAGCATCTACACATTTAAAAGGTTGCTATACTAATTATTTGTTTTGTTAACTCGTTGAAACTCGTTAGAACAGCTCTGCCATAAAAATATTATTATATATAAATAATATATTTGTGAAAATTGTTAAACCGCTATTTTAACGTATAGTTGGGACCTATATAAACATATAATTATAGGTTGTGTCCACCTATCAGTAAATATACAATCTAGCCGATCAGGTTTTTAATTCATTAATCAGTAGTGAATCAGCACAACATGAATCAATTATGATAAATCACCAATCAATTTGTTTTTTACTTTGTCGTTCGTGAATTGTCAAACAAATTGTATCGCCTATTATTGCATTGCTACAAACACAGCAATGTTTTGCATATACAACTTTTAAATGTTTTCAACTAACAATACATCATACACTACGTTTACGCGAGCCTTAAAAGTTGTTTTAAGGCTCTTAAAATTGATTTTAAGATCGCGTAAACACCCTAAATTGAATTTTGCTTAAAAGCACTTTTAGCTTACTAAATGTAGTTTAACATCACTTTTAGTAAGAAATGTCACTTTTAAGCTTTGCGTAAACACCTTAAAAGCAGTTTAAGATTTGAATTATCAGCTGTTAACAGTAAATAGGTACAAATAATTTGAATTTTATTACAAATAACACTAATCAAATAACTAAAAATATGGAGAAAAGGGAAATGAAAAGAAAAAATTGGATGAGAGAGGAGAAAGAACGTTTAATTAAAATATTTGCAGAAAAACAAATAATTAAATTGTTAGACGGGAAAAAATATAGAAAAAGCCTAATTGCACCCCAGAATCTAAATTAATTAAACTTGTTTATTTTTTATTTTCTATTTGAAAATCTTAACTTTACCGTAATGATGACTTTATATTTAAAACATTTTAGTTTAGTTTAAGTTAAGTTTATTATTTTCAATTATTTAAATTTGTCATTAAGCTCAAATTGTTATAAATAAAAAAAGTATAAATTAATTAATTTAAAATTGGTTTTTTCTACATTATTTTTTTAATTGCTTCTACGTAGAAGTGAAAATTTTCTCGCCAAGTAAGTGCATATATGATCTCGCATAAGATGTCCGGACGACAAATTTTGTCGATTGTACATATGTTCAGGTTGGGAATATTCAACCCTTTAACGAAAGTATTTTCTGCTGGTGCCATTTTATCCTTAAGTAAATCTACAAGCCTGAAAAATATTTGTCGATTCACTCTAAAATCAACAATCCATTGTTCATCGTCATAGAACTACAGAACTTCAACATCCCACCATTCCGAACTTCTCTTCCTTTTGCTAAAAGTTCTTATACGTGGTGGAAGCTAAAAACAAAAATGCATTCTAAATATTTTATGAAAAACTTTATAAAAACACTTACATTCCTTAAAGCCTCATTAGCGGAACTTATTGCCATTTTATTAAAGAGCTGCAATCGCATTTCTCGTAATTTTGTAAATTTTTTACGAGATGTTTTAAAAATCTGCATTGTTGCTTCATTATTATTTTCTACAATTTTGGTTATAATATTTCTTTTTTGCAATAAAAGTAAAACAATTTGTAGTTTTACTCTATTCATTTTAAAAATGTTTAAAATCAACATTTCTGTTTACTGTTAAACAGCTGATTGATTGACAGCTACCTTAAAAGTGCTTTTAATTTTTGTGCGTAAACGCTCTAAGAACAAATTTTAAAATCAGTTTTAAAACTGATTTTAAGACTCGCGTAAACGTAGTGATAGTTTTTTGTTTTAAATATTTTTAATTGTGCCCATTGTAGTCTGTGATTTGTATACATATTTTCAAAACAAGGACCGTTTAATATCGGTGTAAAATTTTTATTTTTGTATATTTACAGCACTATTGTTTGTTGCTCAAAATTTTCAACATTTTCAACATTTTGCAACACTAAAATGAAAACATATGGCTGACTATCAGAATATCAGCTGTGATTGGATTCTTTAAGAAAATTGCGCATCTTTGCGGCTTACCTTTTGATGTGTTATGATTGAAGTCTTATTTGAGTTAAAATAAAAAAGAATTAATTCAAATTTATACAAAAGTACGATATGTACCTTGTACAAAGACGGTAGGTATTAAAGTTGTTTACTTTTCATACAGCAGAAGTGAAAGCGGTGATTTTTAATGCCCGGCAAAAGTAAACAGCAGAGTTAATGGTGAAGACATTTCTGTTTTATTTTGATTTGCATATTCATAAGATCCGTAAGTGACAAACAATTTTTAAGAAGACATTGAAATTAAATCTACTTAGAAGTAAATAAAAGGCTATTTATAGTTTACATGTTCAGGTGTGTTCAAATTGCTCAATGTTAGTTAACTATACCTATTTCGTCTTGTATATGTTTTGTTCTGTTTTGGAACTAATCCGCCGTACTTATCAAAATTTAATCATATATCTGGTAAAAAAAAAATTAATTAAATTCAAAAATATGTATACAAATAAAACCTTCGCTCAGTAACACACCTGCATAATACAAATAGAACATACGCCGCAAGCGGGTGTCAGCAACGTTTAACCGAAAATAAGATAAGATATGGCACACAAATCCATTTTATTTAATATGTCCATTGGGTTAAGGTGTTAACATTAGAAAAATTTATATCAGTTGAATAGTTTGTTTGCCATCGATTGATGGTCTTAGCTAACAGTTTTCTTTGTATAAAATTAATGCTCAATTAATTTTTTAATTTTTATTTTGCTCAAATGGATACAAACAAAAGCATTCGACGGCGGGTTAATACACCTACAGCCGATCCACACACAACAGATCCACTTCTGAGACAGACGCGCTCAACTGGCGATGAGGTAATAACCCAAAAATTATATTCTCTATTTTCTCTCTAACAACAAATAAATGTTTCAGTATCTAAAGACAGCATTAAAGTTCAAAATATATAGTGTTAATTAATATTTAATCGAATTAATTAAATTATTCATTTTTCAATTCTAAATTACTGTAAATTATACTTGTTGTTGTAACGAAAATTACCAGCTTATGTCTGCAGATTAAGTCATCAAAATGTGTCTGAGTTTGTAGATATATAATCAATATGTGGTCATTATTTTAAAATAGTCGAAAATAGAAATAAAAACTCTTAAATGTTAACATATTTAGTCATCCTTATATATTCTTTAAAGTTATATATATTATTTTGATGAAATTCAAATATCAGTCAGGAATTGAACTAAAAAATAAATTCTTAGTACTTATTAACTAATAAATGGTTTTCAAATCAGAAATTTTTTAATCTATACATTTTTTTAAAAATCATTATTATAATTATCTAATATAATTTTTCATATCTAATATTAATATACCCATAATAATTTAACGATAGATAAATTTCCAAATATTTTCAGCTACTGTTTAGGTCCGACTACCACAAGTTGCCATAAATTTTATTTTTATTCATTTTGTCATAGATTTTAAATTAATGATTTTTATTTATTCTTTGTAAAAATTAAAAGGTACAAAGAGTGTTCATTGATATATTTACTTCATACATATATACGCACATTAGACTATATGATTTTATAGATTACGCATAAGTTAAATACCGAGATTAGATTAATTTTCGTCACCCTCATTCAATCAATTTATATATATATATATATATATGAAAAATATTTTAGAAATATTTACTTATTAATAAATATTATAATTATCAGGTCGGTTGTAAAAAATTTTTTGTTACTCAGAACAAAATTAAATGGCAATGGGCTCCGGCATTTCTTGGCTTTTGGGTGCTTTTGTACTGGAGCATTTCTGTCCCAGCGTTTCATCGATTACCTGAACCACTTAGTATTAAAGATGAGACAAAATATCCAGATCGTTTTATTGCAGAGCGCGCCGAAATTAATTTACAAAATCTAATTGAGCTTGGACCTCGCGTTGTAGGTAGCGCTGCCAATGAGCAAGGGGTGGTTAAGTATTTCATGAGCAAAATGCAGAAATTGAGAAGTGAAGTTCTTAGCACTTATGAAATTGAAGCTGATGTTCAAGTCGCATCTGGTAGCTATGTACATTGGGAAATGGTAAACATGTACCAAAGTATTCAAAATTTCGTAATAAAAGTTAGCCCAAAGGGCACAAACAGTACATCGTATTTATTAGTTAACAGTCACTACGATTCAGTACCCGGAGGACCAGGTATGTTATTAGTAGCTTTTCGCTTAATTAAATAAACTATTGAATTATTTTTTCTTACTTTGACAGGAGCGGGTGATGATGGTAAATAATATATGTGAAATTATTAATAGGAAATACAACTTATGCTGTTTGCTAAATTTTAGGTACAATGGTAGCTATAATGCTAGAAACATTACGTGTTTTAATCAAATCAAAGCAACCTCTTAGGCATCCAGTTGTTTTTCTGTTTAATGGCGCCGAGGAAAATCCTTTACAAGCATCACACGCTTTTATAACTCAGCACAAATGGGCGAAAAATTGCAAGTGAGTTTCTAAAATAAACTTAAAAATATAAATTTATTTTGCTTTATTTAAGGGCATTAATTAATTTGGATTCAGCTGGAAGTGGAGGCAGAGAAATTCTTTTTCAATCTGGTCCAAATCATCCTTGGTTAATGAAGGTTAATATTATAGTATTTATTATTTTATTTATGTAAGGAACACGTTTTTTGTATAATAGCATTATCGACGAGCTATCGTCCATCCTTATGCTTCAACTGTAGCAGAAGAAATGTTTCAGCGTCATTTTATTCCTTCAGATACAGACTTTCGTATTTTCCGCGATCATGGTCGAGTTCCAGGTAAACAATCTCTTAATTATTAATATTGAACCAATGAATTGTGCTATAATTTGCAAGAAAAAAGAAAATTAATATTAAATTAACAAATAAAATATTCAAAAGCGAAATTGTCACAATTTGTAAAATATATAGCAATAATAACCAATTTAAATGAGAATCGAATTTAAATAAATATAAATATCTCCTCTGATAAGAATGTGCACACATTCTTATTGTTTTTTTTATTATTAATATAAAAACATTATTGTGTTAATATGTTCTTTAAATGTCAATTTTTTAAGGTCTTGATATGGCTCATCAGTATAACGGTTATGTTTATCACACACGATATGATCGCCCTGAAATCATTCCACGTGGAACATTCCAAAATACTGGAGACAATGTATTAGCCTTAGTACGTGAAATAGCTAATGCTCCAGAACTTGATGATACTTCGGTATTTTAGTATTATAATATCTCAATAACTGTGAATTACTTATTCGTTTATTTATAGAAATATTCAGAAGGTCACACAATATTTTTCGATGTGATGGGTATGTTTTTAGTGTTTTATTCTGAGACTGAGGGAACAATACTTAATGTAATTGTTTCAATATCTGCTATTATAACATGTTTGTACTCGTTTAAAATGATGGCAAACACTACCGGACTTAAATTTCATAAGGTGCTTAAACGCTCTATTTACACTCTTGGAGTGCAGGCAGTTGCAGTTATTTTTGCTGCAGCATTATGTTTTCTGATGGGAGTAATGATGGATGTAATGCACATGCCCATGTCCTGGTTTACAAACTCGTGGTTGATCTTTGGTTTATACTTTTGTCCATTGTTCTTTGGTTTCGCGATTATACCTGCATTGTATTTTAACATGTCAAAGGATGTAAGTATTATATAGATAATTAGTAATAATCAATAAAAAAAGCTTTACATTTTATGATTTTATGTTCTTTGTAGGACCGGTTCCCAATTGGATTTAGTGTACAATTGTTATTACATTGCCACTGTTTAGTGCTTGTATTCTTAACATTATTGATGACAGTATGCAAAATACGTTCAGCTTTTATGCTTATGTTAGCCATACTATTTTACACGACAGGACTAATTGTTAACTTGGTGACAAAACTGCATAACAGACGTAATTATTTTGTGAAATATCTATATTTAAAATAATCTTTAATATATAATATATTTCTTTAGCAACTTCGTGGTTAATTCCACATATGATATTTGGCATACCACCTTTTCTATTTTACTCATATCTTTCACATGGATTCTTTGTTACTTTTATTCCTATGACCGGACGTTTTGGAGCTAGTGTGAATCCTGATCTTATAATTTGTGCTTTTACAGTAGGCGTTGGAATTCTTACCGGTGGATTTATGGTAACTTTAATATTTTCAATATTTTGAATATTTTAAGAATTATTAATGATATGCATTAGTTGTAAATTAGAGTTTGTAAACACATAAACACAATTACCATATGATTGAATTAAAAGTCAGATTTTTTACATTAGTTAATTAAGGACAATAAAATTGTAGTTATTTTATGGATTTTTATAATCTATTTAAAAAACCTTATCATCTCGTGTTTATTATGTTTCGGATATTAAATACTCGTGGGACCAGAATTATTGTTATACTCGTAATAGTAATAAATTACTCGAATTAGTTGAAAACAAATAGACTTATAGAATGGCATAACTTTTTTAAACAAATTATACACTTCATAGAATTAAGTTTGTTTAAACCAAACGCTTTCTATATGAAAATACATAACCTTTTCTATTTAGACTGGTTTTGGTAACAAAGTGACTAAGCTCTTTGCTAGAACAATTAACCATTCATTTAAAAAAGATTAAAACTTACAATATGTAATATAATAAATCTGACTATTAGATTGAAATGTAAAAAAAAATTTTAATTTTTTTTCTTTTAGATTCCAGTTCTAAATCTATTTAAGAAATCAAAAACTATTATATCTTCATTGCTTGTAGTCACTCTTATATTTGTAATTGTAGCCGCAACACATATTGGATTTCCGTATCGCTCTGAAACAAACGTACAGAGATTCTCAGTATTAGTAAGTTTATCTTATCGTTTTCCAATAAATTGTTTAATTTATTATTAAATTTTTAGCATACAAAACGAGTTTTTCGTGATCCTAATAATGCAGTTCGTAGAGTTGAAACAGGTTACTTTATTATGCCGCAAGATAGACGTACATATTCAGTCAAAAGTATACATTCTATAATATATTTTCATTCCTATTAATATTCATTACCAATGCTTACTGCAGATAAGGTTATAAATATGACACTTGCTGAAACTATTGAAGCTGATTGTCAGAGAGAGATGCTTTGTGGATTACCTCTTTATAATCATCGTTGGCACAAAGCCAGGTTTGTTTTTTTATAATTTTTGTTTTTATTGTATGCAGTATTTGCATTTATCGATAAATATTTTTTATAGAGCATCAAGTGTGTGGATACCTGGTCCCGAGCCTACTTTTGACAATATGCCACATATAAAAATCAAGGCTAAAAATCAAATTTCGAAGACGAAAATTCGTTACGAATTTGAACTAAGTGGTCCCGACCACATGGCTTTATTTATAAAACCCCTGAACGATGCTGATATAGTAAATTGGTCTTTCCACTATACTCCTTTACGTATGAACTGGAAACCACCATATTTTATTTACTTTTCTTATGGCGTAGATGGTACTCCACTAAATTTCTGGATAGAATTTGAGGTAAGCTTATCAGATATCACATATGTTATATATATTTCAAAAAGTTATACTAACTATTAGTACTTTTTCATTTAATATTTTATATAATAACACAACATGCATACTAATTTTAACGCTTTGTTTTTATGAATATTTGATTTAGAAATTTATTTACCATTTATTAGAAATATTTGAAACATTTATACATAAATTAATATAGATACTATTTAATTATTTTTTCAGAGGCCGTCGGCAGATTGGAGTAAACTAATCCTTGAAATCGGTGTTAGTGGGCATTGGAACCATCATGAATACATGTTAACAAAAGATTTTAAGAAATTCCTTAGTAGTTTTCCTAAGTACGTTGATGCCACTGCTTGGCCTGCATCTTATGAGACTTGGCAATTCTAAAATATTCTTTTATAATGTTTTAAATTAAAAAGTATGTATTAAATATTCAATTCTGATTAAATAATAAGATCAAATTTTTAAATAATTTCTTTTAATATATGATTGTTAAGAATTTAATAAGATTGGATGTTAAGTAGTTATGGGCTGCAAATAAATACATTTATTGGTATTAAATTAACGTAACATTAAAATTGTAAAAAAAAACACTTAATGTTATCGCTATTGTAATTAAATGGTCAAATGTATTTAGTCTTTTATCTTTAATAATATACAGTTTATATACATAATTATAAAATAACTGTTATCGATTCATGATTCTTTTGTATTGCAAAGCAATATGTATAAAAAATCTATAAATTTGTATTTAATTCAATTATTTAATTTTTGCATTTATTTTTTATGATTGCTACATGCTTTGATTTTGTTTTTTATTTCGAATTTTATAATTACGTTATTTATATCCCATTATTGCGTTATTAAAATCCTTCTGTGTATATGTATTCCTTACAAAAGATAACTTTCAAAATTTTTTATATTATTTGTAGTAGTTTCTAATATCGATCCGTTACATTAAATTTATTTTATTAAACACCTTTTATGAATTATTTATTTGTTATTTATAATGTCGACCGTAATTAAAAAAAAAAAAAATTCCCAAAAAAATATCATGAAAATAATTTGATAAGATTTTGGTTCTAAAAACTTACATTTTAATCAAAAACGACCATAAGGTAGATTTAATTTATATTGTCATATCAATTGCTCTCAAATTGTTAAATCTACATACAGAAAAAACATCTGTACACATTATATGTAATTTTTTTAAATTATATATAATTTGAATAATATATTTTATACATATTCTTTATAAATTTGATCTGATAATGTTATATGAATATATAATTTCTTGTATAGAAGTCAGGTATTTACAGTATAGTCATATAACTTCGTTTGAAGTCGATAATCTCTTTTTCGATCAAAACGGTATATTCTGCCAATAATGCATAGAATGAAATAATTATAAATGCATACAACTTCGAAAAATTCTGTAAGAAATTAGGTTCTGGTTATAATGTGTTTTCAACGATATATTTTAAAGGTGAAAGAGTACATCATAAAAACCATTACAAAAGAAAATAACAAGAAAGTACTTTTATATATATGAAATAGTTATGCTTCACATTTGGTTTGTATCTTTAAACCTAATTCATATTATAACTATATTGGCTTATGCAAGATAAGCTAAAAAAAAACTCAACTTTTAAAACTGTTATAAGGTTACAACTTCATCACAAATATGTAAAATTTTATTTTACTCCACAGTTTACTAACTGCATATATATATATATATATATATATATATATGTATATGTAACTTTAATAAAAAACAAAAACTCCATTTAATAAATATATTCTTGATAACTTACTTCAAAAAAAGTCTGATAAAAGAACTGAAAAAATGTAAATGATGTCCATCTGTCTTTTAGAATGACTGCAAATAGTGGAGTAGTTGGATAGTGCCAAGGTGAATGATATGTTTTATGCAGTATACAAAATTAATTGTAATAATAGAAACTCAACTGAACCTTCGCAATGTTAGTAAGAAATGCAAAACGACATCAAACTGGACATATCCAAAAGCATCCTATTAATTATTGTGAAAGTACAAGCATTTCTTCACTTTTCAACATTTACACTATTTTGAAGCTTGATATATGTATATACATATGTATTTTGTGTAATTATATAAATTTTATATTTCTATACAGTACACAACAGTTGCTGATTCAAAAAGTAATGCACTAATTTGTGTATTTCTATATTCTTTACATACATAATATGAAAAAATAAGTATAATGCATATCAAAGACCTTTTGAACTACATACAATAACAGGTTTGATGAGACGATTCTATATTTTGTAAAATAGTCTCATGCAATTTAGATTTTGAATTGACGAAACCAAATGACTGTACATTGGAGCTGTTATATAAACTGAAACTAAATTCATTTTTTTCTATTATTTTTAAAAATATATATTGAAAATTGGTATCTTGTGTGATATTGTAATGAACCTTTTTCTGTGGTTCGTATAGCGAGGGGTTTACTTAGCCGTCACTAAGATCTTCACAAGAATATTTGTTTAATAAGAGTCTGTCACTTCCGAAAACCGAACTGATCAGAACTCGATCCTGTAAATCCGACGATATAACACCGACACACGCAACTGTTAAAGCTACGTGTGTTATATTATATGATGAAGACAACAAGCCCTTCACTATTCACCATAAAGTGTCCAAGGATCAGAGACGTTAGGTTACTAACCTTCAGTTTCCGACATTATAGTATGGACACACGTTCCTGTTGAAGCCACGTCTGTTACACTTCCTGCGATCTAGATTCAATTTCTGTTTAAGCGCTGAATCCTTCTTACCTTCAGTTCAGTTGTCTACCTCACTTTTTCCCGATTCCTCTCACACCGTTTATGTAGATTAACCTTATGTAGATTAATCTATTTGCACTCATGGAATTTTCGTTCAAAAAAATTATATTTAATAAAATTCATTTTCAAACATAGTACTTGCACTTTAACATAGTACTTGCACTCAATCTTTATCTAAGGCCGAGAACCATCTATCTATTTATCTAAGTCTGAGACCCTCTACCAGGTGCACGCACTTTTTATATCAACAACGATCGACGGTGCTCTCCGTTAATGCATCGAAGTTCATTAACCGTTGACAAAGCTCCTTTTTCTGCACTGCACCGAGCGAAAGTTCAGCTTTATGGCCAATATCCGTTTCTCACTCATGTGGAAGCTGGGATTTGTTCTTGCTTAAGCTTTAATCCAATTCCACACCTTGGCAGAAAAGCTTTCTTCGGGAAAGCTTTGCGGGGTGGATTTCGGTGAGTTGGTTTTTGAACTGGCGTCTTTCGATTTAATGTATTCAAGTGTGTGTTTGTGTACCATTTGTGAAATGTGTTCCTTGTTGATTTCTGTACTCAGCCGTACCCGCAGATTTGAAACACAAAATTTTTAAGTTGATAACATTTTAGCCGTTACAATATGGATAGTGGAGTTAACAATGTAAAGAATGTAAAGCAAATTCGGTTTAAAACGTAACAATAGATCTGTGGCATTTTTCATAAGGTGTTCTATTATAATTAATTCATTTCAAATAGGTATATATTTAAATAGTTACAAAATGAATTATTATCATTAACATGTAATCTTAAATGATGATTTAAGATAACTGAAACTTCCAAATTTTCATTTGTTAAAAGTATTACCAGATATCTATGATAGTTGTAATATCAATGGAGTAAATAAAAAAAAAGTATATATTTATATTGTTAAAAAATACTAACTAATACTAAAAGCACATTAAATATACTTTTAAAAATAAATAGTATAATTTTTATACATTTACTTGGTTTTACCATTGAATTTTTTCCAAACACTTGCTTTATATCTTTGAGCCACTGTGTGTAGAAAGCTTCAAAAGTAAAAGTTTATTAATATTGATATTCAAATTTTGAATGAATTTTTTTAAAAAAATAAATTTACGTGCATCATTAATAGTTATAATGGATTAGCTGCACCTATGTGCAATCATATACACCTCTGTAGTCTTCAATACGGTGTCCGATTCCCATGGCATGAACATTCCAACAAAATATGGAGAATGGAATGTTAATATAAAGTCAGCTACACAAGTATGTGAATGCTCACTACACTTTAATTAGGGTAATAGTAAAATATTTTATTCCGATTGCCGTGATTAAAAATATAGTTTATAATGACATTTTAATTTTGTGAAATGTTTTTATTATTTAAGAGAAAAAGACAATTACAAGCCATTGTCAACCATCCTTAGGGAATTATGAAATATAATCTTAGAAATTGAATAATATTTAAAAAAATGTAGGTAATATAGGTAATATTTGTTTAACAAATAGTTCTAGAGTACATCTACTCCAAAATTTACAAACTATTTTTGCAATTAACTAGTTAATAGTGTAGCAATTAGTCGCATTTTTTCAAAATAGCACCATTATAGTCTAAATCATGATTTCTCAATTAAATAAAATTTAAAACTTTTTGTGATAGATTATTTCCTTGCGTTTTTTTTTAATTTTGGTATTCGCTAATTGATTTGTTGTAGTATAAACACTTAATTTGAATTATACATCTGTAGTGAAAACATGTATTCAATTGTTGCAACTATCGCTAATTGAGACCTATTATTTCTAAATAGAGTATTATAAAATTGAGTTTATTTTAAAAGACAAAAAAATATAATTGTTCTCGAAAAATAAAAGAGGCCCACCTCATTCGGTCTTGTCTTATCGTTATTTTAATTTGTTGTTGTTAAGGACTGCACAAGTATTCTGCTTAGATGTACGTTTTTGTGTGAATAGTAGTACTATCAAGTATCACAGTTCTTCACGTTTATTAGGTTTAAATTGATAAGAATTTAAAATGAGTATAAATAATGAAACGAAACATTCTTTTATACCTCAGTATGAAAGTGTCGTTAGTTTATAGCGGTTTTTAGTCCCAAAAGCGGAAAATATTAAATTAAGATTACATTAACGCTAGCTTTTGTTTGAATTTTTGAATTAAATTTGTATATAAAAAGAGAAAAAGAGAATTTTAACTGAAATGACATTATTAGAAGAAGAAAAATCAATCTCTCATAAAAATAAAAAACATCCATTTTACTTGGCAGTAGTATTTTGCGTTGTATGGTATTTGCTATTCTATGTAGCAACGATTCCCAGTTTCTATTCTTATCCTGAAACTAAATTTATAAGAGATGAAGATAAATACACCGACCAGTTTATTGGAGAAAGAGCACATGCCCAGCTGGTTGGATTAGCCACCATTGGCGTAAAAGTTGCTGGATCACCTGCAAATGAAATAACTGCTGTAAATTATTTACTTCAAGAAATAAGTAAAATCAAAAATGCTTCTCGTAGTGACCTATACAATATAGACGTTAATGTACAAAAAGCTTCGGGAGATTTTCGTTTAAACCGTTTAACCATCAACTACAATAACGTCACAAATATAGCAGTAAAAATTGCTACCAAAAATTCGGAGAGTAAATCTTTTCTCTTAATAAATTCACATTTTGACAGCGAAATGGGTTCTCCAGGTGCAGGTGATGCTGGTGTCATGATTGCAATTATGCTTGAAACTTTGAGAGTTATTTCGATATCAGAAAGACCTCTGAAAAATGCAATTGTCTTTCTATTAAATGGTGCCGAAGAAACTAGATTACTTGGATCACATGCATTTATTACACAACATGAATGGGCTCCGTTTTGCAAGTAAGTGACGTTACTATTATAAATGTTATAAAATATTATTATGAATATATAAAGGGCACTCATAAATCTTGATTCAGCTGGGTCTGGTGGAAGAGAAGTTCTTTTTCAAACTGGCCCAAATCATCCTTGGTTAATGAAGGTGAATATTGTACCAATTTAAGAATGCAAAATTAAGCAGTTTTTAGATAATATTATATTTAGTATTATAGTAAAAGCGCACCTAATCCATATGCAACCACTTTAGCAGAAGAACTCTTTCAAAACAATTATATACCATCGGATACAGATTTTCGTGTTTTTCGAGATTATGGAAATATACCCGGATTGGATATGGCTCACACTTTAAATGGATATGTATACCATACGAAATATGACACAATTACAAACCTTGAAAGAGGAACATATCAAACCACCGGTGAGAATATACTTGCTTTAGCTTGGGCATTAGCAAATGCGGATGAAATGCAAAATACAGAGGTAACAATATATAGTCCTATTTGATAAACTTATTCTATATCTACTTTTGTAGATTTATTCTGAAGGACACACAATATTCTACGATTATCTTGGATGGTTTATGATATTCTACAAAGAATCTACTGGAATAGCTATTAACATTACATCGTCCGTATGTGCTCTGATCGCAATATGCGTTTCAATATATATGACTACAAAGGAAAAATATATCGAATCGGCTAAGCATGTTTATATGAAATTTTCCATAATCATAGCAGTTCAAATTCTTACGGTCTCCGTAGCTATGGGAGTAACAATTCTAATTGGAGTTATTGTTGACGCTATGGGTTTGACACAAGCATGGTACTCAGAAGAGTGGCTTATATTTGGATTATACTTTTGCCCAATGTTTTTCACATTGAGTATGATACCTGCTCTCTACATACACTGGACAAAAAAAATAGTAATCACATTAGCACAAATCAAAATTTTCCTTTATTACTAATCCATCACAATTTTGTAGACGAGTTTAAAACTTAATGATACCATAGCCTTCTTTATGCATACCCATTGCATCATATTGGTTTTCATATGTCTTTTGATGACTGGACTTAGTATACGTTCAGCGTTCTTTCCAATGATTGCAATATTCTTTTACGCGATATCAGTAATTCTAAATATTTTGGCCAAGTTTATATGCAAAGGTAAACATGCTTCGACATATAATTTCGCATATTAGAACTATGTAACCATATCCTCTAAAATGTTTTAGGAAAAGACTACTTCATTTGCATCCACTTATTGTGTCAACTTTTACCTTTTTGGTATTACACTTACCTGACTTTTGCTTTTTTAAAAACTTTTATTCCAATGCAAGGGCGTGATGGTGCTACGAGTAACCCGGAACTACTTATATCTGGATTCAGCGCAATTATGTCAATTCACTTCGCCGGTTTTATAGTAAGCTTGAAGTCTTATATGCTTTGTTACTTACTTACTACTTACTATTTTACTAGTTGCCAATTTTACATAAGTTCAAAAAATCAATGACACTTATATCCGTTTTCGGTATATTGACAATAATTTTTGTAATAATTGCTGCTACCCCAGCTGGTTTCCCTTATAAAAAGAACGTTGCTGCACAAAGATTTTTTGCTTTGGTATGTATTAAAATTTTCATTAAGTTTGCTAGAAGATATTTATTTATAATCGTTATTGAATTATGTACAAAAGCATTCAAACCGTATTATACATGATGTTAATGGAAATATAGTCAAAAATGACTCTGGATTTTACGTACAACCTGAAGATACACGTTACGATTCTTTAGAAAATTCTGTATACAAAAATGCTCTACCGCAGTCATGGATGGAGGAAGAATGTGAGCAGGAACTTATTTGTGGGCTACCTCTGTACTATTCAAACTGGCAAACTGAAAGGTTTTAATAATTTTTAAATCATTATTTTAATAAATTTTATACGATTTAAATATTTTAGATTATACGGTCGTTGGATTCCCGCAGTACCTATAAAACCAATTATGGATACTGAGATTCGTCTCCTATCCAGGGAAATCATTGACTCAACAAATGTAAAATACAATTTTAACGTAAAGTCATCTGATCGTTTTAGTTTATATGTAGAACCAATGCATGATTTCAAAGTGAAAAACTGGTCTTTCGACACCACAGTTTTGAACAATTCATATAAGCCTCCTTACTATATATATTACTTTAATGCAAAAACCGATAATTCAGTTCAATTTTGGATTCAGATGCAGGTAAACACGTAAAAATATATTTTTAAATAAAAATCTTGAAATATAAATTAAACTTAATCCGTAGCTCAACGATGTACAACTCGAAGGTCCTGCAATGAGAATCGGCATTGTCACACATTTTCTATATCACAACGAATATTACACGGATGAATTCAAAGACTTTATCAAATCATTTCCAGATTGGGCCTACCCCGCTACTTGGACTGCAACTTTTGAAAGCTGGTACTTTTAAGATGAATTTGAAAGAACATTAAATTATTGTAGTACATAAAAAATACTAGCTTTTATAGTTATATCAGTTGTGATAAGTAAGTTTATCAAATTAGCGTATTGCTTAGCTACTTAATCATTAGTAAAACAATACAATTCAAATATTGATAATCAGCCGCAAAATATTAATCTTATCTACGAGGTAATTAAAATACATAATTCGGTTTTATTAAAGAATTTTCAATTTAGTAGGTTTTCTGTTAAGTTATCGCATAGAGCTTATTTATTGGGGCAATTGCTTACTGGCTACAGTAACATTAATATTTAAAAATAGGCAGGCCAGGTAAGAAGAAACTTAATGTGTTTTTGAGGGTAATATTTCCTGTTGCAAAAAGAAATATGGTATCCCATCGAATACCTTAATTAATTGAAAGTAAAATGTATAAACAAATTTATTTAATAAAAAAGTGATTTGGAATTTGTATTACGAATAAAAAAAAATTGCAAATATGAATTATAAATTTTTTAATAAATTTACTTTACTTCATGAAATATAGAATTGTGTTGAAATTTCGAAAATATCCGATGTTTTATTACAGTGAAATATGCGTTATTATCCAATATTCAATATTCGATTAAAGCCAACGGAAGTGTTTTATCGATTTCAAAAAGTTCACAAGATTATACCTCAGATATATCGATGGAGGAAGTGTAAAGTTAATTCGTTGTCATGAGAAAATTTCTGGCTTAACATTTTTATATCATAAAATTTTAAAATTTTAAACAACCTTAATCTTCTCTAATTATTTAAGTAACTGTGATAATCCATCTCTACAAAGCGGTGCTATTATATCGTTGGAGGGCCGCCGCAGTTTGGTCACATTTATTTTCAACGAACATCTTTCATCTGTCAAATTTCATTGCTAGATTTCATTTCTGTGGTTCACTGAAGTAAGCAATGATAATAATATTGTGAAATTTATGAATTGTTTACAAAAGACTTGAAAATAACTTAATACATAAGGTAAGATACTAAGTTGAGTTATGAACAAAACATATTTGCACCAGCGTTTGCGACTATATACGATTACATGCATCGCATTCGGGAAACTCAGTCGAAGCTGTTACCCCAGAACTAAGCAAAAAATATGAATGTATTTTGATTTGGCAAATGGATGAGTAATGTTGAGAGGGAGAATGTTGAGGCCAAGACATATTTCATATTGTAATAATTTCAATTCTTCCAAATTGCAAATTATAATGCTAACTCCGAATTAATATCCATTACAAGTCAATGAGTTTCTCCAAGCGAGGAATACTTACTTCTCGTCGCCTCACATTTTATTCACGTTTCACTTAACATATTTATATCAAATATAATCTAATAGTTAAGTTAAATTAAACGTAAATGATTATTTTGATCTTTTTATTCATAATATTTACTTATTTACCTATTTCCATGACTTATTATCGACTTGGGCTATAGTGATTAACCTTGTACTTACGGAGGTGTTGATAAGATGTAAAATTTAGTTTACATTATAAAACATTTTTATAGTCTTTCTGCAGTTCAGTTGCGATAATATTTTTTTTTATTTCAGATGACTTCAGCAATGTCAGAACTGTTTTCGGATTCTACCGATAAAAAGGAATCGACTAAATTTCAGTGGTACTGGGCACCTGTATATTGCGCAATTTGGTTTCTGCTTTTTTATGTGGCGGTAATACCAAGTTTTTATTCTTATCCTGAGACCCTGCTTATACGTGATGAACATAAATACCCTGATCAGTTTATTGGAGAACGTGCACAAATACAACTATTAGAACTGGCATCAATTGGTATTAAGTTAACGGGTACTGTGGAAAATGAGGTACATGCAATTAACTTTTTGCGAAAAGAAATAGAAAAAATTAAAGCTTCCGCACGTACTGACCTATATGATATTGATGTTAATGTGCAATATTCTTCTGGCAAATTTATGCTATGGGGTATGGCTACCAGTTATCATAATGTGTCAAATGTGATCGTAAAGATATCACCGAAAAACTCAAAAAGTGAATCATATTTGCTCGTAAATTCTCATTTTGATTCAGAAGTGGGTTCTCCAGCCGCAGCAGATGCAGGTGTTATGATTGTCGTAATGCTAGAAACATTACGTGTAATTTCAATATCAGATAAGCCACTAAATAATCCAATAGTATTCCTTTTTAATGGTGCAGAAGAAAGTAATTTACTTGCAGCGCATGGCTTTATAACGCAACACGAATGGGCACAAAATTGCAAGTAAAAAATTGAAGTTTGCGTAAAAGTTATATATATATATTTCTACTAATCTACTAACTATAATTATTATAGAGCTTTAATAAATTTGGATTCAGCTGGATCTGGTGGTCGTGAAATCTTATTTCAATCTGGTCCTAATCATCCATGGTTAATGAAGGTATAATTAACGTTGGTCACATATAACATTTCAAAAACTTGCACTTTTTAGTACTATAAAAAAAGTGCTGTACATCCATATGCGTCAACGATTGGAGAAGAATTGTTTCAAAATGATTTTATACCATCTGACACCGATTTTCGTGTTTTTCGTGATTACCATGGATTGCCTGGTCTAGATATGGCACATACTTTAAATGGATATGTTTACCACACAAAATATGATAATTTCGGTAACTTGGAACGTGGAACATATCAAACAACAGGTGAAAATGTACTTGCTCTTACTTGGGCTTTAGCCAATGCAAAGGAGCTAGAAAATCCTAAGGTATTACCTTGAATTTTACATATAATACTTTCTACTGTAATTATACATTTTTTATTTTATAAAAGGAATATTCGGAAGGGCACACAGTATTTTATGATTATTTAGGTTGGTTTATGATATTCTACAAAGAATCTACTGGAATAGCTATTAACATTACATCGTCCGTATGTGCTCTGATTGCAATATGCGTTTCAATATATATGACTACAAAGGAAAAATACATCGAATCGGCTAAGCATGTTTATATGAAATTTTCCATAATCATAGCAGTTCAAATTCTTGCAGTCTCCGTAGCTATGGGAGTAACAATTCTAATTGGAGTTATTGTTGACGCTATGGGTTTGACACAAGCATGGTACTCAGAAGAGTGGCTTATATTTGGATTATACTTTTGTCCAATGTTTTTCACATTGAGTATGATACCTGCACTCTACATACACTGGACAAAAAAAATAGTAACCACATTAGCACAAATCAAAATTTTCCTTTATTACTAATCCATCACAATTTTGTAGACGAGTTTAAAACTTAATGATACCATAGCCTTCTTTATGCATGCCCATTGCATTATATTGGTTTTCATATGTCTTTTGATGACTGGACTTAGTATACGTTCAGCGTTCTTTCCAATGATTGCAATATTCTTTTACGCGATATCAGTAATTCTTAATATTTTGGCCAAATTTATATTCAAAGGTAAACATCCTTCGACATATAATTTCGCATATTAGAACTATGTAACCATATCCTCTAAAATGTTTCAGGAAGAGATTACTACATTTGCATCCACTTATTGTGTCAACTTTTTCCATTTTGGTTTTATACATATCTGACGTTTGCTTTTTTGAAAACTTTTATTCCAATGCAAGGGCGTGATGGTCCTACGAGTAACCCGGAACTATTTATTTCTGGATTCACCGCAATTATGTCAATTCACTTCGCCGGTTTTATAGTAAGCTTGGAGTCTTATATGCTTTGTTACTTACTTACTACTTACTATTTTACTAGTTACCAATTTTACATAAGTTCAGAAAATCAATAACACTTATATCCGTTTTCGGTATATTGACAATAATTTTCGTAATAATTGCTGCTACCCCAGCTGGTTTCCCTTATAAAAAGGATGTTGCTGCGCAAAGGTTTTATGTTTTGGTATATTTAAATGCAATGAAATGAAAAACGGAATACTAACTCTATATTCTTTTTTTCCTAGCACACAAATCGTGTAATTCATGATTTTGACGGCTTCGTTACCAAAAACAATTCTGGATTTTATATTCAACCAGTTGATACCCGTCCAAAAACACTTGATGATTCAACTTTTAAAGATGCGTTTGAACAATCTTGGATACAAGAAGAATGCGCGTCTGAGGTATTTTGTGGTTTACCACTGTATAACACAAGATGGATGGATTGGAAGTAAAATGAACGTAGAATAAAAAAGTAGAATATGTACTAATTATTGATATTTTTGTTTAGAAATTCGTCACGTTGGATACCTGCAACAACTCCAGTATTCCCCATAGAAACTGAATTGAAACTTTTAAAAAAAGAATACCTTCCAAATGCAAAAATTCGTTTCGAATTCTCAGTTAAAGCAGCCGATCGAATTGTGATTTATATAGACCCATATTCCGGTACTAAAGTGACTGACTGGTCTTTTGATGATACTCCTTTGAAAGAAAATTTTGCAACACCGTACTTTGTTTATCATGTTTATTCAATGGATACTACACCGCTTTATTTTTGGATAGAATTTGAGGTATAACATAATGTTATATATTTTAAAAAAATTGCATTATCATTATTTCTGTTTAGCGTGACTCGCCAACATATGAAGGCCCCACTTTCAGAATTGGTGTTGGAGCTCACTTTCTATATCATGAAAACGATTTCACTGAAGAGTATAAAACATTCCTAAAATCGTTTCCTGAATGGTCCTATGCAACTAAATGGATTGCGTCTTTTAATAGTTGGATGTTTTAAAATAATGTATAAAAACAATTTATTTTATTTAAATACAAAATATAAATTAAATTAAAAATTACTTAAATCGTATTCTTTAAAGCATGTTGAGAATTAGAAAACAACATTTTGTTCGAAAGGACTCGTAAAAATCACAAATTTTTTATTTTTGCGGTGAAATTCGTTTCACAACCGATATAAAACGCAATAGTATGGCATCAGAAATAATTGTGTTCCAACAAATGAACGTAAAATTAAAGTGTCCAACTTTCATATGAACTGGTCCAAGCACTCACGTGTGCCCATTTGGGAAAACGTGCTAAAAATTCTCTAAATTCATCCGTATTGTAAATGTCGTGATGCACTTTATGTCCAATAATAGCAATATCAAATGAATAACCACTCCAATCGGGACTACCGCGCTACAAAGAGAAGAAAATTAAATAATTTAGGATAAATATATATATAATTTTTCTCAATAGTTTCAATTATTACTTCAAATTCTAATATAAATCTTAAAGGTGTTGGATCCAAAGCATATGAGAAGTAAACAAAATATGGTTTAGAAAATCCTTTTTCTATTGGTTCTTTGTCAAAAGACCAATCTACTAATTTTGCGTCCTCTACAGGATTAATAAATAAGCTCATGTGGTCTGGTCCAGATATTTCTAGTGTATATAAAATATTCGTTGATGAGGAACGTTCCTTTGATAATATTTTTAATGTCGGCCATCCTTCCTTATTTGGTTCTGGACCGGGTATCCAAAAGCTTTGTTCTCTGTGTAAAATAATTTGTTTAGATCAGTAAAAAATTATATATCAATTATATAATGACATACTTCCATCCTAACCAACGTGAACTATAAATTGGATATCCACACATTAGTTCCCTGTCACAATCAGCCTTATTCGATTTTGTAAGATTGGTATTATCAAACATTTCATCGATCGAATGTGGACGACGATCAACTGGAACTACGTAGAATCCCGAATCTGAGCGTCGAACCGACATTTCCGAGTCTCCATTGTGGAAAGTTCGTGTTGTATGCTTAAAATTATACAAATACATATAAATAACGTATAAATATGTTAATACCAATTAGTAGCACTCGTTTTTGAATATACTCACAACTGCGTAAAAGCGTTGTGGGGCTTCCTTTTCAACATAAGGGAAACCAACCGGTGTGGCAGCCAATATTATGAATATAATGCATATTCCACCAAAGATAGAAATAATTGTTTTCGATTTTCGAAAGAGGCAAAATAAGGGAATCTGAGAAGAAAAAAAAATATTTTAGAAATAAATTTTACATTTACAAATTTCATAGATAAAAAATATGTAACGTAACGTAAATACGGAACATCCGACAAAAATATCTAAAAAAAAAGAATTTAACACATCGAACAATTGATGTACTCAGTCCAACATAACAAAAATAGTATATATATATTCTCACTGAAATCGTTTAAGGAACACAAAAATTCAAGAGATAATAAATGTTTACTACTAATTTTTATATGTTTTATACTAGGTTTCGAAGAGTTGTCAAATCAATAATAAAATTGAATATATTCTATTAAAAAACTTACTATGAAAGGGGCGAATAATAAACACATTATTGCTGTAAATCCACCCATTAAAAGTTCAGGATTAGTATTTGCTCCATCTCTTCCTTGCATTGGTATAAATGTCAAAAAAAATGCATAACAGATATATGTGTAAAACATATATGGGAGTAGTTGGCAAATTGTATGAGGTATGAGCCAAAGAAAAGCTTTAATTAAGGAAAAATTATTTAAGAAATATTTTTATATATAATTAAAAATTAATTTAAATAAATAGTGTTTAGCTTACTTTTATTATGAAAACACGTAAGCATATTTAATATCACTGAAAGTGTGTAGAAACCAATGCAGAACATAATTATAAATGTGGACCGTATTCCCAATGAGATCATAATAATAGTTAATACAGTCAATATCAGGCAATGTGCATGCATTAACAGTTGAATTGCATAGCCTATGGGAAGTCCATGCTAAACGAAAAAAAATTAAAATTATATTAAATATGATTTAACAAAAATGTATACCTCTTTTATGCGACTTAAGTATATTGCAGGAATTATGCCCATTACAAAAAACATGGGGCAAAAGTATAGTCCAAAGATTATCCAAGATTGTGAAAACCAAGACATTGATAAACCCACCGCATCCAAAAAGACAGTAATCGTCATAGTTAGTAAAAATGCCAGCACCACAGCAGCCAATTGAATACCTAAAAATATAGAATTGTAACGAATAGCAAAACAGAATTTAACATGAAATACCAAAAAGGATGCCAAACTTGATGAATATACGACGTCGAAACATGCCAGTCTGATGCGCCATATTCCATATATAAACCAAAATTGTTGCTATTGCAATAACGCACACGACAATGTTTATAATAACACCTGTGGTCTCAGAATAGTAGATCATAAACCAACCCAACATATCATAAAAAATTGTGTGTCCCTCAGCATATTTCTAGTAAAAAATTAAAATCCAATAGTTAGACTTGATAAAACTTATTAAGCAATATTATAGTTGCAAATGTTGTGTTCTAAATGGACAGTAAAATCAGCTAACTATAATGTGCAATACTAACCGCTGGATCTTCCAATTCTGGTGCATTCGCTAGAGCTTTTGTTAAGGCTAGTACATTATCTCCAGTCAATTGGTAAGTGTTTCGTGGTATCAAATTAAAACGATCAAATTTTGTATGATACACGTATCCATTAAAAGTATGTGCCATATCAAGGCCTTAAATTTGTGATATTAATTATTATAATATAAAATTTCAACGTTGTACTTACCAGGTATGTTACCAAAATCTCTAAAAATTCTAAAATCAGTCTCTGATGGAATAAAACCATTCTGAAAAAGTTCTTCTCCGATAGTGGAAGCATAAGGATGCATTATATTGGCACCATAATACTGCAAAAGCATTTATTTCATTTTACATATGAAACACAAAAAATTTTAAACGAAGATATCAATTTACCTTCATAAGCCATGGATGATCTGGACCGGATTGAAATAATATTTCGCGACCACCAGAACCAGCAGAATCCAAATTAATAACAGCTCTGTAATATTAAAGATCATGTCTATAAAAATTAATTTATTGTTGTTGTTTTTATAAAAATTTACCTAACATTTTCTGCCCATTTGTGTTGTGTTATAAAAGCATGTGAGCCCTGTAGAGGATTCTCTTCTGCACCATTAAAGAGAAACACAATTGGATGACTTAAAGGAGTATCATATTTTGAAAGTACGCGTAAAACCTCAAGCATTATAACAATCATCATACCAGCATCACCTGCACCCGAGCTACCTGGTACAGAATCATAATGACTGTTTATTAGCAAACAGGCCGTACTATTATTATTTATTGGCGTCAATTTCACAACAACATTTTGTATGCTCTGGTAACTATTTACCATCTTCCATAGCACATAATTTCCTGTAGCGATTTGTACATCTTGTTCAATGTTGTATAAATCAGAGCGAGATTCGTAAATAATTTTATCTATTTCATTTAGTAAAAATTGGATAGCGCCTTGTTCATTTGCTGGACTACCAACAATTTTGGGACCAATTTTTGAAAGTTTAAGCAAAGTACTTTCTGCACGTTCACCTATAAATCGACCCGGATATTTCGATTCATCTTCCAATTTCAAATTTTCAGGAAATCTGTTAAAACTTGGTATAGCGACAAGATAGAACAACAGGAACCAAAATGCCACAAATAATGGCGACCAATACCAACCGACTTTGCTGCGACTATATGTGATCTTCATTTTCTCATACTTTGAATTCATTTTGTGTATTACTAAGCTCTAAAAATATAAATAAAAATAATATGTAATTATTTATATATTTAAACAAATATAATAATAATCGGTAAATTTACTATATAGAATGCAATTAAATATTGTTGTCGGGAAATTGATGGGTTCTAGTCCAGTTTAAAAAAAATATCATTTCATTATCAGGTCCCCTTCTTAGAAATATATCTACATAGTTTTGCGATTTTTGACTTAGAGAATTTATATTTGAACTACAGTTTTCAGATCAGTTCGATTTTCGGTTTACGGTTAAATTCCGATCCGAAACTCTAGTTTTAATGCTATTCCTTTCGAACACTATGTATATATGTATAGCTCATTAACTATTCTTAGCAATTTGACCTATATATCTAATCATATCCATCTGTTAGTTTAGTTTGAAGTCCAATATACAAAAACATCTTCAACGTTTTTAATAAAGAAGTCATACACATCATAAATACATTGAAAAGTCGTATATTTTCAGGCTCAAATAGGAGAAATCAAAACTGTTAGGAGCTTTAACACATAAAACATTACTTTGTTGATGGTATAATGAGACATTACATGGTGCACGTATTTATATGCTTATATATATATATTTTTTATCTTTAATGAAAAACAAATTTAGTAAAACTTTAGCAAAACAAACAAATAATGCCTCTACATACAGAATAGTATGAAATTTAACAATTTAAAATAAAAATATAATTAATTAATTAAATTATTTTACAGCTAGTTTATGATTTCGTTCTAATATAAACACAGTTTTATTTGTTAATAAAACTTGCACAGTAAATTAACAAAACTCAAGAAAAATATGCGAACATATAAGTCAAATATGTTTTTGGGTCAGTTGGTTAAGATACGCTGACTCTGAGCTTCAAATTTGGCAGGGCACAAGTTTGATTCCTCGAATAATTAAATTCAAGAATTATTTCCAAGACCACAGATGAAGGGTATTTGGCAACATTCGAAACAGATGTATGGTCGGCCAAAAATTCAATTAATTAAATTAATAAAAAAAATTATTTTTGTTGTTATAGATCACTACTGTTCGAAACACCTCTTTGTAAAAGTTTAAAAATAATAAATAGCGTTATTTCAATGGAAGAAATTACTATCAAGGATTATAGTAAATGATTTTAATTAAATTTAACACTAATGAATTTACGTTATTCGATTTTAATACTAACATTCATACTTGAACACAGACGCATTCATATATAAATGATGATGCTAATAAATATTCCAACAGATGCAAGTACAAAAATGTGAATAATAAATTTTATATATGGAAAAATAAGAACATTAGAAAATAAAACTACTTTTCATAGTTCTATGTGTTCTATAAGGTATTTTTGGTCAAAGATCAGAAATGTTTATAATAGTAAATTGCATAAAATGATAAAGTTACTAATTAGTTCACAATTATAATATTCGTACTCAGAAATGTGAAAGTGCGATATTTTGAAGGCATATACATGGATCAGTTATACGTACTGATAGATTATCAATAAAAATAAAGTGCTTATTAACTTTATGGCCATGTCTATTATTGTACGCAGAATTTTAACTTTTAACTACCTTATCAATTAGGCAATTAGAAGATAAATAATACAACTGTAGTTCAAAACTTTGAGAATTTTTATTCAGTGAAAGGTTATTTCTCTAATCTAAAATAAAATTTATTATCAAAAGTTAATTACTTTTTTTTATGACCACATAAAAATATAATAATTTTTATACCTGTATTTTCTGCAGATATATTTTTCAGAAGTTTATAAATAATGTCAAGAATTTTTTTCAAATATTATTTTAGAATAACTACATATCTACTTATCATTGATAATCATATTTGAGACACCATGAAAAAAATTTTAATATGAAAACACAATTAAGTCTATTCGTCCTTACAATCGGTGCAGAGTTTTTAAACTCAATAATTAAATTAAATATTTTTTTTAATTATCTAAATAAACTCTATAATAATTAATATGTAGTATGTATCGATTAATATGTATACAGTGAGCGACAAAACTCTACATACACCCCCCATTTCTGCTAGCTCGTAAATCCAAAGACATAATAGAAAAAAGTAATGATACAGTTTTGTTTAGAACTGTTTTTTAATAATAATAAACAAAAGAAAATTCATTCATCAATATAAATTAACGAAGTTATTCGAAAAAAACCTAAAAAAATCATTGACAAAATTCTACATACACTTCATTGATTGTTACATTTAGTCGACAGTAATTTAAATGTTAAACGGGAAAGTACCGTTTTTCATATTTCATGCTTGTGGCATGAGTCATTCATTTATATAATATACTTAGTTGTGCTTTGTGAGTGGTATTTAATTGACACAATGGGTCCACGAAAAGAAATTTCAAGTGATATGCGAAATCTGGTTATGGTAAAAATATCAAAATTAGTAAATTTGACTCGATCAACAGTTCAGACGATAATAAGAAATTATAAAAATACTGGTTCTACTGAAAATAAGCCTCGCAGTGGCCGCCCAAGGATACTCACACTTAGGGATGTCAGCTTGGTTTTAAAAGAAGTTAACAAAAATCCGATAGTAAGTGCCTTAAAATTAGTCGAGCACATTGCTAGTGCAACTGGAAAGCATGTCAATCCACGTATAGTACAAAGAACGTTGAACAGCCACGGTTTTCATGATAGAATACCACGCAAAGAACCTTTAATTTCTGAAAAAAACCGAAAGCTGTGCTTGGAGTTTGCCAAACAATATAAAGAAAAGGATTTTGATTTCGGGAAGCAAGTTTTATTTACAGATGAATCCAAATTCAATATATTTAAAAGCGATGGGAGAGCTAAAGTTTGGAGGAAAGCGAAAACAGCACTGAACCCGAAGCATACAATGCCAACTGTAAAGCATGGTGGTGGCAGTGCTATGGTTTTGGGAGCCGTAACTGCAACTGAAGTAGGAAAAATAGCTGTGACGTAGATTGGCATGCTTCCTAGTTGCACTAGCAATGTGTTCGACTAATTTCAAGGCACTTACTTTCGGATTTTTGTTAACTTCTTTTAAAACCAAGTTGACATCCCTACGTGTGAGTATCCTTGGGCGGCCACTGCGAGGCTTATTTTCAGTAGAACCAGTATTTTTATAATTTCTTATTATCGTCTGAACTGTTAATCGAGTCAAATTTACTAATTTTGATATATTTACCATAAGGTGTTTTTTCATTTCTATGCTTAAGGGGACTTTAACGCGGGTTCAAGTTTTTAATTAAACATAAACTTGATACCAGCCATAGGCTTTTAAAACTTGACTCCTTTTAAGAAATACAAATAAATATAAATAAGAAACATAACATTGAGATGGTCATATATGTTAATACGATAAAAATTTAATAGTTAACACTAGCACTATAACAAAGAGTTATATCTGAAAGCTTTTAAAAATCTATGAGTAATAATCTTTAAAAATTCTAAGATCTGAAAAATTATTATACACAATATGATATATTTATAGTAAGTGCACATACAGGTCACAACCAACTTTAAAACTGATGGCAGTTGTTGGATATCTTAAAAATTTTATTGGCATTTGATGAATGGAATTTAATTTAAATATTATGATAGATTTATATTTAACTGGAAAATCACAATTTGGGCTATTTTTGAAGACCTCGAACAACTCATTGGTAACAAATCTCATGTCTTGAATTATAAACAATTATAATGAAACTTAAGCTGCTAAAAAATGCTATGAAAATGCTTAAAAGTTAAGGGTCAAATGTAAAGAGATTCGTGCTAAGATTGAAAAGAAATCAGTTCTCAACTGAACATATCAAAAAGTACCATTCAAGATATAATCTCAGAATGACACCTCAGAATGATACCTATAACGACCAAATAGGTTAATGTTCAAAAAACCTAAGCTCGACAGAGTGAAGAAATTATTGAAGGAACGCAGCGAATTGCGAAAATCATTTTATTTGATAAGAAAAACATTGCCAATTGAACTTTTATTTATAAACAAAAAATTGTTGCAATTTATTTAACGGGGAGATATACGATAATTAAGACATTGGAATGGCATCACCGCTTTTGATGGTGGTGCCATTCTAAGCCTTATGATCTAGTGGAAAGACGAGTTACGAGGTGTTTCGTACGAGGACAACTTACACCGGCAATGACAACTCAATGTAAAATTCATCAGTTGAGCCCACATAAAGAACTAGTTGCAGGCACTGCTGATTAATGATGTTCGCTCTCCATATGTGTTTTTGGACCGTTGAATCAATGTTAATACATTTGTTTACTACAAAAAAATAATTCACTTGAAGTTTTTTCAATTGTTTTAAAAGAATTTTATACACAACACGAAAAATGCACAATAAAACTCTACAGAATGACTTCAGTTCAAATTTGTATAAAAAATTCGGGAAGTCTATTTAAAAGAAGGAAAACCCAAAGAAAACATTCGGAGAGAATGAACATAACATTGGATTATACTATGTCCACTTAATGTAGAAATATTTTTGCTATAATGTCAAATTTTGGACCCAGTTGGACCCAGAATATAAAATATATTATTGATGTGATGTTGAAAATAAGTTGTAACGTCGTTAAAACCATTCATTTGAAAATACACATTTTTTATTTATATTTCGTTTGGTTATTTTGTGCCACAAAAGTACTAAAAAGACATATGTGATTGTTTTTATTAGTTTTGGCTTCTACACACCACACCTAATGTAATAATAAATGTCTTTAAATAGAATCTGAGCTAAAAATTAAGTCACTATGGCATAATTTCACTTTTGGGAAAATCTGTCATATCAACCGATAGCACTTTGTTAATAATATAGAATTACTATTGTACACAATCGTATGGTAGTTTTGTAAATGATTATGTTATTTTGCAACTTTACGCGTGGGACGAATTTACTTCAATATTAAAGAGCCATCTTTGCAGTGAACATTCCGTTGAAGTAACTCCATCCCACTGAAAATGTGCATTTCTTCCGAATTTCTACCGTTTAGCAACAACCGACTATAAACATCGAAACGAGTTCCCGGATGGTTATTCAACATACTGGCAAATGGTTTTATTCAATCTAATAAAGACTTGTTGCTCAGACTTCATGTCTACGTAATGCACAAATTTTATAAATAGAATAGTTATATTAAATGTTGCACTTTCTCTGACTTAGGAGTTGACAGAAATTATGTTTGGCACTCAGTCAATTTTTTTTTCATACTATAGCTTACGAACTTAAGACGTTCCGTCGTCTTTGGAGTTGTTTGAACGTTTGAAAGGATAAGTACGAGAGTGCCAAGAACACACAGCGTGTTGATTTGCTGCACACAAAATGTTAACAAAGTGAGAGTCAATAACCTCATAACCAACTGGCTGCATCAATGCATCAATGCATCTTTCTAAGCTATTTTCTTTGTTTATTTTTCGAAATAAAAATGTGAAAAATTCATTGAAGGCACATGAAACCTTAGAAATTTTTGTGACGGATCGCGACTATAACACTATTATACACCAAATGGTTTTTTTTTTTTTGTTTTTTAAACCAAATTACCTTTTCACAGTTACACACAACTTTTGTTTATAAATATATATTTTCGCTTCTAATCAGACTTATTTCATCGTATGCAAGAAAATATATCTATGCAGTAACTGAGCTCATGCACTTATGAGTTAGAAATCTTCACAAGTATACACAATTTGGACAGCCTCAGAGATTATTTATTTTGTCACTTGTTCACAGTCAGAAGCAGTCAAATTGACATATGCGCTGAATTTTTTATTTTTTTTCCTATTATTAAATTCACTCTCATTTGAAATGTTGAAAATGTTGAAAATGTTGAAAGTCAATTATTTCCAAATTGCAAACAGAACTGATCACTCCGACGTTCAGTACTCATCTGAGTAGCGTCGTCGTTTATGAAACGTTTATGGATTGCACTAGGAAAATGTATTTGTGGCTTCGTATCTCTTGAGTTTCAGTTTCAGTACTAGTGCCTATAATATATGAAAATATATTCTCTTAAGACATACAATTTTAAGTTCTTGTTGTAGATAGTTGCAGCACTCAATATATACTATTAACACTCGTCTGCAGATACCACAGTTTAAAAAATGTTGGCTGCAAATGACAACAGACGTACTATCGCGCCAACGATCGCAATCAAAATAAATATTTCATGAAAAGCGCTACTGGCTTTTAAAACATATGTTTTTAGGTGTTTATATCGGACGCAGTACTCGATCGTAAAAATGTACTGTACTTTAAGCGATTAAATTTAATTAACCAAAATTTTGTCTGTTTCGGCTACTTGAATGGTTTCTCAGTCTCTATAAAAAGCGAAAATGTAAGGACAAACAACAAAAGTTATATAGCCATCATTATCGCAATATTTTTAGCATTAATTGAATAACCTGCAATGTGTTATTAATGATCTCATTATTAATCGCTAATTAACAATCAATTGGTCATAAAATATCGTTAAAAGCTAATCAATTAAGGTGCTTTTATGAATTAAATAGACGAGTGCCATTTGAAAAATTTATAGGAAAACTTATCGTAATTCTTATGATAACTATTACAAACTAACTATTAATATATATCAAGCTCACAGATTAGTGCGATTATATCAATCAGTGTTTAATACTTTAATACCTTCTTGTTTTAAAAGTTTATTTTAGTAATAATTTTACAGAAAATAATTTAATTCCTATTTAAAGTACCTCGTAAATCTGAAAATCACTTGTAAATCTAAACTTTTAAAGAAAGACGTATTTAAATTAAAGAATCCAGTAAATTGATTGAGTGAAAAATCTGTTTATATATTCGGTGTTCATAAATAAATATGCCTTAGGGCTATGTTGTGTAGAATGTCATGGGTTCGTCAAAATTGTCTATTTTGGGCTATAACAAAAATACATGTTTTGCAGAATGTTACAGAAATTGTAATAATTTGCTTCCAAAAGACAAAAATGTTGACATTTATTACTGAATAACACTGCTTTGGCTAAGTGCCGAGGCACAGATATACTCTGTTCTCATGACCAAGATTATAACCGAGATTTAGCTTTTACTCTCACTCTCAATTTTTTAATTTGCATTGAAAACAATAACAATAATTGCTTATGACGAGCCCATGACACTTCTACATAACATAGCCCTTATGTAGCTCTTAATGCTCTTTATTATTAAATACAAAACTGTAGTATACAGACTACGTCCGATACTTTATATGAATTTGTGTAGTAAATTATGTTACAATATTTATATTATATAGATCATAATCTATTGTTTTTTATTTTCAATGAAGCTGGATGTCTAACATTTACTTCAAATTATTAGAAGTTGTACTGGAGATATCGTAGCTATTTGTGTTCTGAATTTAACGTATATTTAATCACTTACCCATATATGATACTAAAAAATACCCAATATAATTTATTAAAGTAATAAAGTTATAACATACATTGACATTGTCAAACTGCGTTTGAATCACCCTACAAAATTGATTTTGTAACAATCATGAAATAAACTGCTTCACTGCATTTAAGCACGTAGTCAATGCTCAACTAACTCATTCATTTATGTGTGTGAAATAAACAAAAGTCAAAATGTTGACCAATTACACGAAAAACAAGAAGAAAATATGAAAATAAGAAAGTGATGAATCGAAAGAAACGAGAAGAAAATACAATAAGAACATTTGGAGAATAAATGTGCAGTTATGCTTAAACATATCTGAAAAAAACTCTGTACTTATAAATATTTTCAATATTAAAATAAACAATACTTATATAGAAGAACATTGGAACATTGGAAGTATACAATTGGTATATCTAATGATAAAATTTTCCCAGTATTATTCAATTAAAAAAAATTCAATTATTTTTACTCTTGCAGACACCCCATGTGGTTTCGTGGTCTACTTCGGCTAATCCTTCACTTCAGGGGAGCCACTTGCTGGACGTTGTACTATCCCAACGTCCCACAATACAAAAAAACACCCATCCAGATATTATAGATACCATAATATAAAGTTAATTTACGCCACTTTAACACCAATATGAGGTAATATTCTGTATTAATGACAAAAACATGAAAACTGAAATCCAATAAACTATATGAATTACAGTTTAATATTTTGTCTTTTAAAGTCGAAACCATCTTAAAAGAAAAAAAATATTTTAAATATATCTCACAAAATTCTCGAGTGAATCCAGTATAGAGGCGTTCGTGATTTATTTGAATTCATTAAAAAGTTGCACGTTCTGTGATCTTTCGAACTCAACTGAACATGTTTTTTAACATTATTCCTAATTGTTCTCGAAATCCTGTTCATTTCAAAGCACTATGTCATGTAGTTATTTTAATAAAACCAGCTACAGAATTTAAAAATAATTAATACTATTAATATAATACTGTACTATACTATATATATACTATACTATATATAATACTGTACTAGATAATACTATTGTATATGATAATTATTTCTTTAAGATAATTTTAAATATAAATCATTCGGTTATTAGCTAAAATTATTTTTGTCATTCTCATCTCCAAGTGGAGCGAGGGCCTCAACATTTTATAATCTAACAATTTAGACATGGAAGAAATGATAAAAATGGTACAATTATTTTCATGCCTTAGATTTAAATAGAATACAATAGAGCTGCAATAGAGAAATATAATGTCAAACCCTTATCATTATTTTATATTTATATAATATATTATATTATCATTACACAAATAAATTTCAGATTACTAACATATATGATTAAAAAGACAAATAATATTATTGAATGGGGTAGTAAATTTTCAACTTCAACTATCTACTCTCCTAATATACCAACAATGTGATTCGCTAAATTCTGCCTTTTTTGATTTCACCACATTGACTTTAATTTATCAAAAAATATATTTTACCATATATAGCGAAAGGCTCAGGCATATCAGCGATACGACAATATTTCACACATTCCAATATTTTACACAATGATAACGTTACTGCAATTAATTTATAAATTTCCTCTTAAAATGTGGAAATGACTCACGATTTGTGTTCATGCATTTGCAATTTAATTTTTATATATACGAGGGTTGTTAAAAAGTTTTATAACCGCAGACATTTAAACATATTTTAAGACTTTACTAGCGCAAGTTAAGAAAAATACGGTTGATTTTTTGAGAAGATTTGAAACTACTGAGAAGATTTGGATGCAACTCTATATTTCAGAGACTGAAAAACAATTCAAAACCAGCATTAAAATGTGAAAGTGCTTAAAAAGAGCGAAGACTGTACTTTAAATCGGGGAGGGGAAAGCGATCAGCGAGTTGCTAATTAAAATCCTCGAAAATAATCACACAACAAGTGGAGCTTGTCAATGTCTTAATGTTTTTTAACGTAACATTCTATGCCTTGACGGCCTAATATTACGGTGTTAAAAAACACGTGCATTAATACATACGTCAATCAACGCTCCATTGGAATTTCATAATAAATATCCGCCGGTACCAATGAAGAAATGTGTACAGACGTAACTTCCAAATTGGTTTAGTGCGAGGTCTACCTCCAGGATCGTAGGACCTGGTGGTGAATACGCAACTCCACGCCGAATGACAAACAAACCTGAATCATACTTCCCGCGTAATTTTGGGTATTAATCACAGCCACTACGAGTCCAACCTCAACTGGTCAGCACAGCAAAAGATGCAGGCCACTGACCCCCGCAGTACCAAATATTGCCATCTCTGCTGAAATGTCGCAGGCTGGGACAACACATACAACCGTTTACAGTTCTGTTCAGTGTCGGCGTGGCACCGAGATTTTAGTCGCCTTTTACGACAGCCATGCCTTACCTCGGAAATATTTCAACCCCTTCACCGCAAAGGGTTACAAATAGAAATTGTAGGATAGTTCCGCACGATATTATACATTAAACGTTGTCATAACCGCAAAATCTGACGATTTGCAAAGGATTGAAATTTATTTTACCAAGACAAGACACCGGCCCATACTTTTTTAGTCACTATGTCTGAAATTCACTATACACCTTCTACACTATACTTTCAAACTTTCAGTTATTTTCTAAGTTGAAAAGTTTAACAAGTCTAAAATTCTAGTTAAGTAAAAATATGATATTATCGTAAAATATCAGTTTGAGGACCCCACAAATTTGAGGGATTGGAGAGGTTGGACCAGACTAAAATTCTAGTTAAGTAAAAATATGATATTATCGTAAAATATCAGTTTGAGGACCCTACAAATTTGAGGAATTGGAGAGGTTAGACCATCGTTAAAAGTTTGTATGTTGAGTAAAGAACACATAATATCAGAAGACATAATATAAACAACAAAAATTAATAAAACATTCCTGTTAATGTTATGTACAAAATTTTTCGAATAACCCTCGTAAATAATTTTCAACATATTTTTATTTTTAATTTACTTGCCAATACTTTTGCATGAACTACAGTTCATTGTTTAACATATGCTGGATAAAAATTTAATTTATAATTTACTCAATTTTCAACAAAGAACTCAACATTGTGATTAAATGAAATGTAAAAATATCGAAACAATATATTTTATGAAATTTTTTCTTTTTGTGGAACGTGTCATTTTCAAGTCATCAAGAGATATAAATTTTTGTGTAATACTCGTACTTTCCTTTATGCCTGCCATATACCTATACCGAATGTTCACTAATTTTTATACTAGACAAGTTGAATTTACAGGAAAATTTTTTAAAGAAACTAAGACCGATTGATTTTCTTTCTTTGTCATCATATAAATTTAATGATCGGTAGAGTATTCTTCGTTTTCATATACCAAATTAACGCACACAAATGGGATTCAATAATCCCGCAATAATCACTTGGAATTTGCACACAATTTTAGAAAAGTTAATATAGAATTTACGTAGTCACATGAGATTGGAATATTATTTAGAATTCGAAGACGATCTGTTTTTATTTTACCTACCCGCCATTGCATGAAACTGTTGTTATACTAGAGTTTTGACAAAATAATCAGCGAATATGATGGATATTTTGGAGGGACACACCCGTATCTCTTTTTTCTATTTCCGAAGTAAGAATTGCACATTTCGAGAATAGCATTTTAAGTTGTTTTCGACTATAAAAGATAACTATAAAAGATAGTATGGCCTTGACAAAGTGCAAGGCCATACTATAGTTTACGAAAAAAATTGGTTGTGGATTAGGTCAAGTCTTGAAATATACTTGGTAGCGTACTATGGGTTCACTTTGGATGCAATAAAATTTTAATTGATTTACTGCATTTGTGAATGTTTTAATAATTCCGGATACTTTTTACGTAGAATGTATCACTTCGACTATTTGCTTCAAATATTGATATGACTAATTCCATGTTTAAAATATTTTTTAATGAAGCATATTATCAATAAGCGTTTTTCAACCTATTAAGTTTTTATATGAAATAGATCCCGAATTATTAGTAATTAATATTGATCTATATTCATTACCGGAATAAGTTTAAGAAAAATGTTATTTCCTCTCGATTTCATTGATAAATTTCAGAAAAATTTAACAATAAAATTAAGTTTTCAAATTTGTTTTTGTGATTTGCAAACTTCATTAAATGTTTTTAGTGGTAAAACCCTCAGATAACATGTCTAATGTGCAATAAAATACGAACTTTGTCATAATAAAAAATATTTTTCTCCGACAATCAAAATATTTCAATAAAGATAAAAATGTTTTATGTGAATATTTTTTATATCTCAGTTCGATTTTTTACTAGAAATCAAATTTTCGATACATAAACATACGTAATGGATTTCTTATGGTCTGTAATTACTTTACGAACCTATTTTATCTTTCCGATATCACAATTTTTAGATAATTTTTAAGTTTAAATATCAAAACATACCACTATGTAAGAAGTTTTCATTTAGTTCAAATTGGTTGAGATTTTATTTAGATACGGAAAGTTGACGGTACACATTCGCATAAAATATACGGAACAATCAAAAAGTGATTATATCCTTCAATAATCGACGTTAAAAGGACTTTCATCCTTTTTCGTCTATATTTGAAAATTCTTTCATAATTTTAGTTAATTATTACTAAAAGGATCTACCTTAAAGTTTTGCAAAAACTAGAATCTAAATATGGGTGTACGTATACGTTTTTATATGGTTGATATTATAATGTTTTTATACTATATATATACGGGTACCTACTTATAAAAGGATATAGTTGGACATGTCGACATTTTAAAGTCTAATATACTAAAGCGATTAATGTTAAAACAATTTTGAATAACAACTTTATAAAAAACATTTATATAATTAAATATGATAAAAATATACAATATCATATATATCATATATAACTATTGAAATATAAAAAAAAGATTTTTTTTTGTAAATTCAAATTAATTTAAGTGCTCAGATCAAAAAACTTTTTATTTTTTAAAATAAAATCATTTAAATACATTAAATAAATGAAAAAGTGAATATTTTGAAAGGATATAAAAAGGACTTCAAACAATTAATACTGATGTGATCTTTACAAGAAGAATAGTCTGAAAACGTGCATGTATTCCATTAATAACTAAACGCAAACAAAGGAATTAGTTACTCTAAAGTCATATAGACTTACTAAGTCATTTTTAGTATTAGTGACCAATTAGTAACTACTCTAAAGTAAAATAGACTTACTAAATCATTTTTCGTGTTATTGACCAATAAGTGACTACTCTAAAGTCATATAGACTTACTAAATCATTTTTAGTATTAGTGACCAATTAGTGACTACTCTAAAATAAAATAGACTTACTAAATAATTTTTAGTGTTATTGACCAATAAGTGACTACTCTAAAGTAAAATAGACTTACTAAATCATTTGTAGTATTATTGACCAATTAGTGACTACTCTACAGTAAAATAGACTTATTAAATAATTTTTAGTATTAGTGAGCAAGTAGTGACTACTCTAAAGTAAAATAGACTTATTAAATAATTTTAAGTATTAGTTACCAATAAGTGACTACTCTAAAGTAAAATAGACTTACTAAATCATTTGTAGTATTAGTGACCAATAAGTAACTACTCTAAAGTCATATAGACTTATTAAATCATTCTTAGTATTAGTGGCAAATTAGTGACTACTCTATAATAAAATAGATTTATTAAATAATTGTTAGTGTTACTCACCAATTTCTTTGACTAATAATGTTTTCATATTGGGTTGTCGTATTGTTCGAATCTTGATTTATTTAAGAAATTGTTTATTTGCTATAACCGCCTTCTGGTATCGTCATTTAATAATGCAAGTCTACATTCATTTAATTCTAATTCATATACTTGGAGTTGATATAGCTCTGCATATATGTGAAGTATTTTGCCTTTTTATCAACTTCTTCCATATCTTGTAAAACTAAAGCAGACAATTTTAATTACTTATTGAGATTAGTTCAATGCTGATATTTTCAACTTCTCCGGTGTGTATAAAATTTTCGAATAGATTTTTTCAATTTTTCTAATGATTTTAATGTAATGTCCGAAATTTGAAATACGTTTAAGATTACTTTAAGCTATTAAATTAATCTACTATACTTAAGTGATTATGACTCATAAAAACTTTATTTACTACAACTTGTGCTCGATAGGTGATTTTGTAGCAATTATATCGAATAGATTGTTTTATACATTTTTTTTCAAATAATCGTTGGTAGAATCGTTTTAAAATGTTTCTTGGAAATTTTCTTATATGTTAATATGATTACTTATCATTATTTACTCTATAATACAATAAAACTAAGAATCTTTTGTGAAGTTATGATGTGGAATAATATGTGAAAATCAATTTTCCATTCATTATAGAAAGCTTCAATTATTTATCAAAATCTTGGCATATGACTGTATATGATTAAATAGTGTTACAAGGTTTCAACAAGTAGACTGCTTTTCGTTGAGAAAGGATTTTCACTCTTCAAACTATGGAATCTTATTCGTATTAATTAATATGGTTTTCCATATTCAAATGATTTCGGCTTTTGCAATATATCCACAATTGGTATTTGGGCTAGATAACTTTCCTGAACCTCACAGTTGCCTTAAAAAAATGCCTATCGAATTGAAATGCATCCACATATTTGAGAAAAGCATTTTTTGCATTCTTAAAAGTGCACTAAGTATTTAAGATTAATTTCAATGTAACTGTACTAACTATATTAATTGACTATACTAATTGTTGCATATGTTGCTTTATATGGCAGGGTCCGATTTTGATATTATGTTAATGTGTTTTGTACTTCACCCAAATAATTTATATCAATATTATATTATGCAGAAATTGTATTTTGCATACAACTTTAAAAGTTTTCAAATTTATTATAAGGAATTTAAATTAATTTAATACGCTTGTTTGAATTTATCTATTAGAAAGATATATCTGTATAAAAAATCGATCACGTAACATTTTAGTGCAAATACCCTCAGAATTTAACTTCAGTGCAATTTATAAGGGTTCGAGCTTATCATGCAAGCAGAATATCTGTGCCCAGATTGTGAAATTAGTTAATACCAACAGAATTTATTATAATTTGCCCTGCAATAAGAGAAATTTGATTCATTGCAATACTGGAAAAATGCCGATATAAAAAATTTTAACCTTGTTAGTTTGATATGTCACATGTGGTACTTAATTATTAATGTTAAATATAATATATTTTAAGATTTATTTTTTTTCAATATCAATTCTCCATGAGTTATGTTTTTCGTATTAATGGCTATGCTTTGTCAATTGACTTTTCATTTCTTTTGCTTTAGTAGTAACTTTTAGTTTATTATTCTAATATTGAAGGTTATCATATATATTTCCGATTCACGAGATGTATGTATTGTTCCTTTTGTTTAATTTTAATAAGTACAATATTAATTTATCATTGAATTTGTTCTCCGCTATATAAAAGTATATAATGTGGTGGTCTTTCTATATACGTAGGCCTGAACTGAAATTTATGAGTTCTTCTTCATTCCCTCCACTTTATTAATGCAGTATAAAGATAATTTAACTTATTTTGTTTAATATTGCTATAATTATTAATAATGCATCTACTTGTATGGAACAATGAACTCTCCACTGATCAATATATTAGATATTCTTTGTGACCATCTTTTCTTCACTATATATATTTTATATATGTTGCTAGCATCATTTATCGACATTAACCCCCAACATTCGGCATTATGTACTTGTATTTCTAGTTTGTAACGTTACTTTACTTCAATTTAATAATATAATTCTCGCTCTGTAAATGTTTCTAGTGATAGTCTGTGCAGAATGACAAATCATGAAATTTTGTAGCGCTTGTTAAGTTCCTCAGAAACTAACCTAGTCAGCATCTTTCATCTTGCACTTCATATTTTTGCGTTCTACAGCACAGTCTATAATTCCTGTTACTTTTTAAATAATTTTAGGGTCCATGCTTTTTATGGTTTTGAATGAGTTAAAATATTTAATTTAAATTTTTAGTCATAATTTTATTTTCTTTCTTGTGGTTTTTTGTTATTAAAAGAGTACTTTATTTTAACTTTATTATGCGCCTAATATGTATATCTATGTATCTACGATATGCATATGCATATTGCATTTCTGATGATGATATAATCAAAATGCAATTTTATCACAATTAAAAAACTATTTTTTTGTTGTATAGAAACGAATTTAAAAAAAAATAAATTTATTGATTTGCTGAAATGTTACTTAAACGTGGTAGTTGTAAAATTCGATATTAACGATCATACAGAAATTGAACGTTATTTATTTTATGGTATTTTAAATATTTTCCGTTTGGCTATTTTGATAATAAAACTAATAATTAAACAGTAATTCACTTTAGCGTTCAATAAATGACACCGCCGAATTCTGCTTGGATACTTAAGCTGAATCACAGTTGCATAGATACGCGTGCGCTGGCTAGAAAAAATACAGCAATTCCAGATTAGATAAGTAAATATTTATATTTACAAGTCGAATGATTGTTTTATTGGCCAATAAAAGAGCAATTAAAATGAAATTAAAATATCGCTAAATATTGTTATACTCATATGTATATATATATTATCTAATTATTTATATAAATATAAATTTTTTATGGATATATACTTTCAGTTTAAGTCGAAATATCACATTGATGTTGACTTTGAAGTTCCAAAAAAGTTGAATTGGTATTATGCTCCTCTATATGCTGTATTCTGGTTAATATTATATTTGTCCATTGTGGTGACTAGTGTCAGCCATCTGCCTACGCCACTCAACATTAAAGATGAGACTGACAACACAGAATCATTTATAGCGGAACGAGCCGAACGTATTTTAATAAATCTAGGCCGAATCGGACCAAGAGTGGTAGGCAGTGTAGCAAATGAAATAACTACGGTTGAATTTTTAAAGCAGGAAATAGAGAAAGTTCGAGCCCAAGCTAGTGATTATTTTGAATTTGAGGTCGATGTTCAAATTGCAAGTGGAAACTATATGCATTGGTCTATGATTAACATGTATCAGTCAATTCAAAATGTAATTGTTAAACTGAGCATGAAAGGCTCCACAAATGAAAACTATTTGCTAATGAATAGTCACTACGACTCCGTACCAGGAAGTAATGGTGCGGGCGACGATGGATCTATGGTTACGGTTATGTTGGAAGTTATGAGAGTAATTTCCAAAGGTCAAGGTCCTTTAAAGCATCCCATAGTTTTTCTTTTTAATGGTGCTGAAGAAAATCCGTTGCAGGCATCACATGCATTTATCACTCAACACAAGTGGGCCAAAAACTGCAAGTACGATTATGAAACATTTATTATAAATTATATATATGTATTGTATAAAAATAGAGGAAATAATCAAAAAACTACAATTCATTGTTATTTAAATAAGCAATAATATTCCAACGCTGACTAAATAAAATAATGTAGGTATTAATGATATAGTATTAAATTACTCAACCACTTCTTATAACGTCTTCACTTTACATATATTATAAGATATCCCAACTGATCTAAACATAGTATTTAGAAAATAATGCTACTTAACTGTTTAAAATTATATAGGAAATTCTTCAAGCAAACACTCTCTTTCTGATTATCTACCGGTCATTTTTCTAAATTAATTAATTTCAAATATTAAGCCAATTTGCTTGAGTTATAAGTTTTAGGTTTGTATCGGAAGAGTTACGATTTTGATAAGACGTTTCGGAAACTTAAAACCTGCTATGAAAAGCGCTGCCTCTACATCTATATCAGATGTCCTACATAAAAGCAACTTTCAATATAAACCAACGTCAGTATATACGTACAATGTGTTAAAAATTTAATAAACTCTAGAATTATCCAACAGTTTTGTGGCTAAAGCACAGTACAAAGCTTGTTTATATGCTGAAAAAAGCACTATGTAGAATAAACTTGTCTTCGTACTCATATAACCAGACAATTATTCATATAACAATCTTTTTAATCTCTGTTAGTGAGTAATCTAGAATAAATGAAGAAACGCTCATTTTCATTACTGATGAATTTTAGAAACTTTCTAAAATATCGAAATTTTCTTCAAAAAATTCAAACTGGGGTCAGATTAACCGGATGGTATAATTCATAGAGAAATATCAAATACAAAATATAGCATTCTTCTTGAACTATCATCTTTGAAAAATAGATTTAAAGAAAGTAGAGTGATGCGTGTAACTATATGGAAAACAAAGAATGGAGAAAAAGAAATTTTTATGGTTTATATGGTTATCGATATATACTCTTAGCATAATAAACACACCCCTTATTTACAAAGGTATGAAGTATATATTCACTTTATTTTTGAGTAAGAATTCATTCCAGTTGATTATTATTATTATGACTGATCAGTCATAACTCCAACGCTTTGATTGTCCTAAAAACTAAATTATGATCGTAATGTTTGGAGCATATACATTATTTAGTACATTAATAATTATTTATTTATTAATTATTCGGTTCTATTTTGTTCAAAAAATAGAATGCAGAACAATGTTTAAGAATTTCTCAATCGAAAAAATTGTTCTCATCTTAATATTTTGATAATTGATTCCTAATAAAAATTTTAAAAAATGCATATTGTGTTTAAGATGTAAAATAGATAATATGTCTCACAAGCATCACTTTTGCTGTTTTAAAAATACACTAACTTTAATTAAATATTATCAAATCAAGTTAACATTTATTTGTGAATTCTTAATTTAGAGCACTTATTAATTTGGATGCTGCTGGCAGTGGAGGTCGGGAAGTTCTCTTCCAATCTGGACCAAAACACCCTTGGCTAATGCGTTATTATCGTGAAGTACCACATCCTTTTGCCACAACAATGGGAGAAGAAATTTTTCAGGCAGGTTTAATACCTTCGGATACTGATTTTCGCATATTTCGTGACTATGGAGGAGTACCTGGTATGTAAATAGGTTACTACTTTTAAATACAATTGTGTTAGTCTTCTGTATTTAAGGACTGGATATGGCATATACTTTCAATGGTTTCGTTTATCATACTGAACATGATCGGGTAAATACGTTTCCCAAAGGATCATTACAAAACACAGGTGATAATGTTCTAGTTTTAGCTAAAGCAATAGCTAATGCTCCTGAAATGGAAAATACATTGGTAAGTACATTTGTAACACATCTATTATGATAGGTTAAATTTGAAAAATATATTTCAATTTTAATTCTATTTGATTTTAATTTTAAATCTATTTTATTTTGGCTTATTTTGGTAGGAGCATGAGGATGGTCATGTTATATTTTATGACTTTTTGGGTTGGTTTATGGTATTTTACAACAAAACAGTTGGAATAGTAATAAACATCATTGTGTGTATTGCCGGATTATGCGCTATAGGGGTATCATTATTTTTTATGTCAGCGCGTTCAGGACTTACTTGGAAAGCAGTTTTGATTCGGTTTGGAATCACATTTTCCATTCAAATAATTTCTTTAGCATTGGGCACGGGTTTGTCACTATTAGTTGCTGTATTTATGGATGGTGTAGGTTGTTCGATGACATGGTTTACAGAGAACTGGATTTTGGCTGGTCTCTACTTTTGTCCGATGTTTTTCGGAATGGGTATTTTGCCAGCTATATATTTGGATAGAACAAAAACTGTAAGAAACTCATATTAATTATCCTTAAATATTTAAAAATATTTCTTCTTAGGATCCTCTGAGCTTGGGCTTTCGTATACAACTCTTTATGCATTGTCATTGTTTAGTAATGATTCTGCTTACGATAATTCTAACTGCAGTTGGTATTCGATCCAGTTTTATGTTTATGATAGCAGTATTTTTTGATATTATTGCATTGATAGTAAATTTGCTAACCAAATGGCATCGAAAAGGTATTTTATTTATATTTTATCATCGCATTTAATAACATATGTAAATGAAAATTTTAGCTTATTGGTTTGCTATTGCTGCGATTATATGTCAAATATTACCATTTATATATTTCACATCTATAACTCAAGAAGTTTTTAACACAATGTTACCTATGATGGGACGATCCGGATCTGGCTCAAATCCTGATTTAACCATGGCTTTAATAGCTGTTTTTACTACAATAATGTTTGCTGGTTTTATAGTGAGTTAAAATAAGTAATTATGCATGTATATAAATGCTAATGGATATTTTTAATAGATTCCACTTTTCCTATTCTTCCGTAAAACGAAAACGATTATAATGTGCTTTCTAGGCATAACCATACTATTTATTATAATAGCCGTTACGCCAGCTGGATTTCCATACAAGGCTATAACCTCTGCGCAACGCTTTAATTTAATTGTAAGTCCTCACTTGTAATTTAATGTCTATATAATAACCTGTTTGAAAATATATCCAGCACGTTCATCGGCGTTTGCATAATGCTGATAACACAATACGTACAGATGAGGCGGGCATATATATATATCCCCAAGATCGGAGAACAAACACCGCAGAAGGTAAGTGTTTATTTATAACTCTTACAATGTAATTCGTAGCGATAAAGCTACAGAAAATATACAAATTTCTGCAAATTTACAGTACATTTTTTTATTTTCAGATCACATAAAGGAGTTGGGGAATAAACGTCAACTGAGTGAATTGTGTTCTGAAGAAATGTTTTGCGGTATTCCATTATTCAATCATCGTTGGCATAAAGCGAGGTTTGTATTGTGTATTAAAATTAAAGTCAGAAAAAAAACTTAAAATACATTAAATGAAATATTTTATAATAATAAGAATGAACCAAAAAAATCAAGTTAGCGATAAATCTTACTGACGAATAAAAATTACATTAATCGATTTTGAAATAGAATAAAACCATAACAAGACGATGTATAATTTCATGAGATTTTTAATTTATTTTTAATTCTTTAGAGATCGAAGTTTTTGGGTGCCAACAGATGAATATCCCATTCTACCTGAGGAGTATCCTGAACTTATTTTACAAAATACTGTTACGCTCGAACAACCTACACAAAGGCGATATCAGTTTGCTCTAAATGGACCAGATCACATGGCAATTTTTATTGAACCACAAGAAAATACAAAAATTGTGAACTGGACTTTTAATCAAACAATGCTGGAAGAGAAGTGGGAACCGCCATTCTTTATATATTTTTCATACGGTATAAGCAATGCAACGCTTGAATTTTCAATCGATATAGAGGTACGATTAATATATTACTGTGTATATAAAACTAATTAAACAAAATTAAATTTAAGTTTTCAATTACTCAATAAATTTTTTAAATTTCTTTACACAATAGAAATCGGATTTAAGTTTTGACTCTCCTAGTCTGGAAATTGGTATTGGAGGACACTGGATTCATCACCAAAAAACTCGAAGTGAAAGTTTGGAGAAGTTTGTACAAAGTGCACCTGATTATTGGACAATTACTGACTGGGTGGCATCATACGAAAGCTGGCTATTTTAAAGTATTATTTAAGTTCTTAATATAAAACCTTTTTTAAAATACTCGTAAATATATTAAGTTTTGCCTTAGTTTTTAGATAAATGTAAAATAAATTCCCAATAAAATGTAAATATTGTATTAAATAGTTTATAATTGGAGAATGAGTATTTTCTTAGGTATAATTTAAACCAACTTACGTCATAAATTGTTAAACTTATTCATGTTTAGTACATTGACGAAAAAATTACGGCGATTCACTGTTCAACGATTATTTGTTAAAGGTTAAGCAATGGTTATTAGACTTCATTAGATTATATCAGAACTATGTAACATATTTCAAAGAGATTTACTCCACAGAACTCGAGTTTAATTATAATTAAAAGGAATTAAAGAGTCAATACTCCGTTAAAAACCTACATAATATGCATTAAATAAATTCGTATCACCTTTTTCATTAGAACAAAACGGCATTTATGAATTCATCGTGTCAGTCTGATATAACTTAATTTAAGTATATTAAATATTAGAGCGACATTACTTAATGTACCTAGAAACTTGTTTCATCAAGAATCTTAGTCTTATTTGTAAAAGTGTTACTAGTAGTACTACAAAACTGGACATCTTTTTCTGTGTTACAGCTTTTACGTGACACTTTGCAAACACTATATTATTATATATACATCACACTAATACAAATATCATGTGTAGTTCTGCTTTGCTTTTCGAATCTTAATATTAAACACATTTGTTTATATAATTACAGCTAGTAAAAAACAACACCAGAAATATTAGCAAGCAATTTTATACTAACATTGAAGGTCACAATTGCTAATGTTATGTTAAGAATTAACTATCAATCATAAGACTTTATTTTAAAAAGCGCTGAATTATTATAATAATATTTCACTAGCACAGGTCTGCATCTGTATATCAAATGTCCAAATGGGCCTTAGAATTTGTTTGTATATTAGGAGTTTGTTTCGTATTAACATTGTCGAGTGCCTGCTGATGAGTAACTACGGGAAACACTCTTTTGTCCACGTTATTACGGACTCAAGTGCTTCTGAAACTTACGAGTACTCGTTGCCGGTACAATTATTTTTCCAATGCCAGAAAAGCAGTGTGGTGTATGATTTCGAAGACCTTACCTTGTAACACACCAGTGTTTATTTTTCTTAAATCAAATTAAACATTTTCATGACGTCACAAAACGATCTTCCAGATTTTAGAAGTACAACCCGAAATATGTTTAAGCACACTTTTTCGTCTTCGTTAAAGATTCAATTATGAATACCAGTCGGTGTACTTGATAAATTGTTAAATGGCTTTTCCGAAATCCAAATTGTTGGTAAGGATTCTATTTTTATTATCTATAATGTACAACAAGGGGGATTAAAAAGTCCCGCAATAATATTGGATGAAAATTGTTGTAAGATTGATCGCTAAGATGATCAGTAGATAAGCTTGCTTTCTCAGTGTTTACTTTTGTTTTCATTGATTTTTATTGAAGTTTTTATAGATTTTATTGTTGGATTTTTATTTTCTTCGCATCTTTTAGTAAAAATAAATAATCTGTTTTGGAAAGTAGTTTTTGAACAGAATATCTAATAGAATTTTTTCATGTTCATTCTAAAAAATTAAATCGCTAATTTAATTTCAAATTTCTGATCAAGTTTAAAAGTGTGATCTAAGTTAAATGCTAAGGATATATAGAAATAAAATAAATATACCATCTTATGCTTAAAGTATTCTAATATTTATTTATTTTTAACTTATTATTTTGTCTAATTACTATTGCATCAAGATAAAGGAGTTTATAGAATACTTCTTGTTCCTTTTTGAATTATATACATTTATTTATCTGTTTGGATTATTTGATTTACTTAGCGTACACTTTATGATATTCATCTCCAATATAGCGAATATATTGGAATTTTTATTTCAATAATTTACGTTTGATAGCCATTTCATATATTTCTACAACTATATCTGTAACTTCAGGCTAAACCGGTAACCATATTGGCATTCTACTAACTTTTAAGATGAAACGAGAGATATACATAAAAGTTTCTTTGTATTACATTCGTTTTATATACTCATTAATTGATATGACATTCATTATATAAAGCAATTGATATGCGTTAATATTTCCAATATTTTCTAATTTTTCGTCAAATGCAAACATTTCCCCCGAACCCATATAGTTTATTAACATATTTGGAAGTAGGAAATGTATGTGAGTTTTTTTTTTCAGTTCTGAAAAAGCAATTAAATAAATAATTTAATTATCAATTTTAATGTAACTATTACCTGTATAGTCCTTCAAACATTATTAACCATTGAATATGGTCAGTCAATTGTTCTTATATATCCATTAAGAAAACATATCACACTGTCACACAGTTTCCCAGGAGACTACACAGTTTTACACATATAAGTTTGAATGCCCTACACTAAGCTTTAAAGAATAAATAAGCTTTTAAAATTTTTAGTTAAGGATATAAAAGCTGTTTAGGCTTTTACGAAATTTCACCACACAGTCCCCAAAATCACACAATAAAGCATTTTTTTATGACATTCATTATTCATTATTCTGAGTTTTGACCAAATATCTGATAATGCTGGATTCACATAAGAGTTTTAATTGTAATTTTAGCTGTCAAGCATTGTTGCTTTCAATGCAAAATGACAACTAAAATTATAAACAAAACTCTCGTGTGAATCCAGTATAAAATACGTATATATGATATATCATTATGAATATATATTGTGTCCGTACTGTTTCCGGTTGTCAAACTTTCAATATTAAAATATCACATTTGCAATTGAAAATAACTGTGTTACACTATAATGCTTACGGTTTATGCCAACAATCACTAGAAATTCAAGATTTCCTATATAGAAATAACATAGATATTATAGTGTTATCAGAAACTCATTTGAAGCAAAAAAAATGTTTCTGGATAAATAGTTATAAATTTTATGACACCAGTGCCCACGAAGGCACTAGGGTATTAATCAAAAAAACTATTCACCACTTTGAGTTAGAGCAATATAGTGAAAAACACCTGCAAGCTGTCTCAATTTGTGTAAAAATTGTTCATAATAAAAGTGACGGTCCAATTTCGTAACTTTTTCAATATACTAGGTCCCAAATTAGTAGCGGTTGGCGACTTTAAAGCAAAATACACTTTTTAGTGTTCGACTTTAATCTCACCAAGAGGCAGACAACTTTACATGACATTTAAGAATGATCTTGATATTATTTCCTCAGGTCAACCAATGTATTGGCCAACTGATCAACAAAAAATTACTGATTTGATTGACTTTGGTGTTATTAGAAGACTGAGTAGAAAATATATTACTGCAGTACCATCGTTTGATCTGTCCTCAGATCACTCTCCGATTATATCAAGTGCATTGAAATTAAATTGAAACGATATAGAATATCAGATTAGCAAACAAAAAAATTTTCAACTTGTCGCATTATGCTAATCGTATACCTATGGTAGCATAATGCAGAATCGCAGTTCTCAAATCACAGATCTTAGATATCATTTAAATATTGATAAAGCAGTGGAATTACTGAATAAAACAATAACCATTGCGATAAAAGATGCCTCAACTTACAGAAAAACCACTCGTTGGAAAGTTGCTTCTCACAATGAAATTGATAAGTTAATTTTACGCTTAACGTTTAACAAAGACTTAATGAATTCTCTAAACTACTTTAAGATACACTGAACAATCATAGAAATTTTACAGTGAAGTATTATTTAGAGAATATAGGACCTAATAAACACAACAAATATACTTTGTGGAAAGTATTCAATAGTTGAAAGTACCTATTCAAAATGATCCTCTCATCCGAAAACTAGACGAATCATGAGCTAAAACTAACGAAGAAAAGGGATCTGATCGTTTTCAAACAGTATTTTAACCAAATCCAGAAGTCGTCAACCTTCACCTTAGAGTTCATATTCCAGTAAAGGTGAAAGCTTCAATTAAACTAAGTCTTTATGTGAAGCAATAAGTGAATAAGTGAAGCAATTCAAGCAAATTCGAATCCTATGAAGGCACCAGGTCTCGATCATATTACAGGCAAAATGATAAAATTACTCCCTGACAAGGTAATTTTATTTTTAACCATAATATTTAATAGCATTCTTGCTGCTCGCTATTATCCAACGCATTGAAAAGTTTCTCTGATAAAAGTGATTCCTGAACTAGGTAAGACTACCTCTTACAGACCGATAATTCTTCTTCCCCACTTATCGAGGATCTTTCGATAAGCAACATACCATTTTTCTGTATGTTGCTCAAGCTTTCGATAAGTTATGGCATGGAGGCTTATTTACAAAAATCGAATTAAAACTCTCTGATAACACTCATCCTCTATTTCTTTCTTACTTAACTCAAGAAAATTTTGTTTAAAACATAACTCTTTTACTTCCAGATAGGTTGAAATAATGGCAGGTGTTCTTCAGGGAAGTGTTTTTGGGCCCTTTTTATACTTACTATATACAGCCGATCTTCCTCTCTTTTCAAACCATAAAATCTCAACTTTTGCAGACGATAGTGCAATGCTTAGTGTACATAGAAACTTCAAAATGGCCGCTCAGAATTTGTCACTTCATCTGTGTCTTGTTGAGGAGTGATTGGCCAAATGGAGGATAAAAGTAAATAACGTTTGCACTAAGAAAACAGACATGTCCACTAGTTACGCTCAACAACATTCCAATACCGCAAGCAAATGACGTAGTTTTTTGGCATCCACCTTAAGAGAAGACTGACTTGCAGCAAACACATAAATAGTAATCTATGAACACAATGAAATTGAAGTTTAATTAGTTCTATTGGCTTATGAACCCAAATAGTGAATTTTGTCTCGAAAACAAACTCTTACTTTACAACTGTGTCATTAAACCTATATGGACTTATGAAATTAATTTATGGTGCTTAGCTTGCTTTTCAAATATTGAATCGTTCAGAAAATAACAGGACACGAAAAATAACAAGAGCGTCGTGTTATGTAAATATTCTAATATCCATAAGGATCTAAACATCCCGCTAGTAAAGGATGTTGCCTGAGCATACGTAGGCAAATATCTTACGAAGCTAAATGTGCATCCCAACCCACATGCCAGACAATTACTTTTTACATTTAGATCTTTGCGTCTGAAAAAAAACCACTGAGTTCAATTTAAATACATTATTATTAATATTTAAAATATATTTTGTTAATTCAATAGAGAGGCATATCTAATATAGATGAAGAGGAAAATGTAGTATTTGCCTCTCCATCTTCAAAAAAATTACAAACAAGTCACAAGGCTTTAAATTTTTATATTTACTTCAAGATTTGAAAATTTATTCTAAATTTCTTATGTTAAGATGAATTCAATAAAACATTAAATAAAATGAAATGTAACAAACAAACATTTGCAGTTATATTAATTATTTTGTAACCAAACAATTTTAATAATAAAAAATTTTGACCAATTAGCCTGAAAAAACACTTTATTTGCAGTTGTAGGCAAAATCCAGGGAATCGCAATTTTTCCGTTCCGGTTCAAGACAAAATAAAATATATCGGTTCGGTTTCGGTTTTCGTTCCGACAAAAGTATCGGTTTCTTTGGCTTCGGTTCGGTTCCGATTTGATGCTCTGGTATAATCCTTTTATTATTATTCTATTGTCATATGCCTACAGTACTCTACAAATTCAGATTTCTGTAGCATACATATCCAAATATTAAATACCAGTTACTGATTTCTAGATAATAAAACATTGTTATGGCATACAATAATTGTTGACTTGGACATGAGTATATATGTTAACATCAATGATACTTATTTTAAGAACTTTATTTGCTGTGCTGAAATCCTAATACCCGCAGCTATTTTTTTATTAGTATAAGAAGTTGTTATTCAGCAGTTGTTAGAAAAATGAGTATGAATTTATTTAAAGTTTAAAAATCAAATTAAAATTAATTAAAAATTAAATTTATTTAATGTAGTTGACTTTATATCTTTGCAATATGTGAGATTTCAAATTATGATTTACTGGGTTCGTAACAATTTAAGGAAAATAGCGTCACGGTGCATTATCCCGAATAAGGTGAAATAAAGATATAAATAATAAATATCAATAAATTAATGTATATTTTTGCAACAATAAACTAAACGAAAAATAATTTTATTTCTATGAAAAAAAAATTATATTATGAAATCGTTATTGACGGTTATTTAGTGATTTATGCCTAATAAAAAGATTTATACATAATAAAAAACGAAAACAAAATTAATATTATTTACATTAAAAATAGTACATAACAGAAAAAAAAATATTTATACAAAAATTTTTATTTATAAATAAAGCACACACATAATCAATCTACCCACTTTTACTTAATACTAGTGATATTCGTATTCGGTTTTACGAAGTATGCGGAGAATCCGATTAATCGAATAGTAAACGAAGTCTCCGGAATTGAAAAAAAAATCGGATTATTTGTAAATCCACAGTCTTCGAATATCCGGATCTGCGGTTATTATTCGCAGTGAAATTATTTGGAGACTTCGTGAGCAAAAGTAAAGGGAGAGCACAAAATGCAAATGGACGGGCATCACACAAATAAACACAATTTTTTTCAGGGATTATAGAATTTGTTGTTGTTTATCGATTTTATGAGTTTAGTATTTTACGCAGAAAGTTATACGTGTGTAATATTTTTTTTTATTTTATTTATTTCATTTTATAACAAAAGTCGAAAATTAAATTGTTTCAACTAAAAACTTTAGGCAAATTTATGTGAGAGTTAATAAGCGACTGTAGTAAATAAAGCATCTGATCCCAGCATCTACAGAAAAGCATACCAATCATTCGATTGAATGCAAGATCTTGAGATTCACCACAAACGAAATAATTCAACTTACACTTTTTCAGTAACTTGGTTAGAGAATTTAATATAATCAAAATTTTTTTTTTCGACGGCAAATTCTCATGCGCAATGGTGCTTATATTAGCATTTTGATCTGCATTTTGATATCATAAACTTTCTAACTATAGCTTAGATACTCATTGAATATTTTTCTCCTCAGGTCCGGTTAGTTGATCTCATCGTCCGTTATCGTTATTATTTTTATTGGCGATCGTTACACTTTCGTAATCTCACCTACTTTCAGAGGCGAAGACATGTCTGTTGCACTGAAGATCTGTTGCTTGCTCTTTTCAACATGTCCTTCCATACTTCATAAAAACTCCACTTCCGTTATGATTTGTCCCAACAAACTACGTATAATCGCAAAGCACGAGAGCTGTTTACAATAACGCTCTATACGTTCAATTAAATTTTTTTACCATTATTCAGCACTTCGTTTACAGTTGTTTCACTGCAAGTGTATGTATGTTTACATTGCTTTCCACACCTCTAAGAATTGTCAGGATTCTTCCCGTTTATATTCGTTTTGCTTCTGCTTCAAAAAGGCGTATGGAAAATCAACCCAACTTCTGAGAATTGAGATATACGATGATATTTACAGAATAGTAAAACAATGTACTTAGGTATTTAAAAAAACAAAATATTTCAAAGTATTGTCTTATAAGTGGTTATAATAACTGTTGGACTGCAGTTGCCATACTCACAACCTTGAATCTCTCAAATTAGGAAATATTACTATATTCGCTTCTTAACCAAACGAGCCAAAGCTGCACGAAACTTTTATTGTTAAAGTTTCAAATTTTTTTGTTACATTTTTTTGATTTCTGAGAAAAAAAAACCACAGCAATTGTGTTTTTTAATTTGAGCACAACTTATGGAAATTACAATCAACTAGTATAATATTTTAATCGCTAAAGCTTGAATTCACAATTCTAATTAATAATGGATAATATTTGCAGGTTTTCATTGACAGTAGCAATCCAGAACAAGTTAATGATGTTACATATATTAAGCACCATGAACAACTTCCTTGTTTCTGCAGTTTAGTGTTTGTTTCATTCTGGATAGCTCTATTCTGTGGTCTAGTTTTACCAAATTTCCATTATGTGCCTAAGGGTTTAACTATAATGAATCACCAAGGAAATGACACTGATTTTGTTGCAGAACGTGCTATGAATATACTTAAGGAATTGGAAATAATAGGACCAAAGGTTGTGGGTAGTTATGCGAATGAAAATTTGACTGTACAACTACTCCTCAATAAACTCATAAATATAAAAGAAAGTCTACATAAGGATCTTTTTAATATGGAGATCGATCAGCAAATTGTATCAGGGGCTTATATACACTGGCAAATGGTAAACATGTACCAAGGAGTACAAAATGTGGTAGTTAAGTTTTCCTCAAAAAATTCCACTAGTGAATCAGCTTTATTAATTAACAGTCACTTCGATTCCAAACCAGGAAGTCCAGGTCTAGTGACTTGCATTTGCTATATAGTTTTTATATCTAAACTTAACTAATTAAGGATCTGGTGATGATGGAGTCATGGTTGTTACTATGCTAGAGGCGCTAAGAGTACTGTCTACAACTCGCGAGACTTTAAGACATACAATAATATTTCTTTTCAACGGAGCAGAGGAAAATCCCTTACAAGCTTCACATGGTTTTATAACACAACATAAATGGGCCAAATATTGCAAGTGAGTTCCAATCATTTATTTTAGTTAGAACTAATTAATATATTTATTTCGTTTCAGAGCAGTTATAAATTTAGACTCTGCTGGAAGTGGGAATCGTGAAATATTATTTCAAACAGGTCCAAATCACCCATGGCTTATAAAGGTAAAAGAAAACAATACCACTAAAATTTCACAGAATTAACGTTTTGACTGCTAACGCTGAATGAAACTAATATGCTACTTACTATATAATATGACTTTACTATTATTTTTTTTGTATTAAAATTGCTTAGAAATAACAATTATTTATGACGAAAAGAAAATATTTAAGCGTTAGAAGGGTTCGAAAAGAAATTAAAACACAACAACAAAAAATTTAGTTAATTTGTGGGAGTTTGGCTGACCATACAACGCTTTTTCGAGTATTGCCAAGTACTCATCTTCAGTGGTCTTAGGAAATATTCGATTTTTTAATTAGGCCGTATACATATATTGTTGGTTATTCATTTCTATTCGAACCCATTCTGCAATTTGGCAAAATATAATGAATATGATATTGAATTAATTTCTTACAACTGCTACTTACTATTCAAATAAATACTTGAAAATGTATAAGTAGTTCTGTAAATTATACGATTTAGTTGAGGTTTATGCACTTGCTTCGAAATACAGAAGGCAAGTGCATTAATCAATTGCAATTAAAGAAAATAAGAGTAGTAAACTTGCTCCACTCATGTCAAGTGCAATGTTTGTATGATTATAGTTCTATAGGCGCCACTAACTTTTTCCATTATGCCATATATCAGTATAGCTTTATTCTTAAGATAGTAGACTAGACAATTTTTCCCCCTAAATCATTTAACCACAAGATAATATTATTGAAGCCTCTTATCCACCAAATTAATAAATTACAATTCTGTGAACCAATATCAAAAAACTTGATCATAACCAATAACTTATTATTTATTATGTTATTGAAGTACTATAGTCAGCATGTGAAGCGCCCATTTGCGACTACTATGGCTGAGGAAATATTCCAAGCAAATCTTTTGCCCTCAGATACAGATTTTCGCATTTTTAGGGATTTTGGAAAAATTCCAGGTAAAACTATGTTCTCAATATTTTTTTATTATTTTTTATATTAACTCAAAATAACTAAAGGCTTGGATTTGGCGCATACATATAACGGATATGTATACCACACAGCTTTTGACAGAACAAATGTTATATCGTTGGGAAGCATTCAAAATACGGGCAATAACCTAATATCATTAATACGGGCTTTAGGCAATGCTTATGAGTTGGATAATCCATCGGTGAGTAAATATTTCCGAAATAATTTTTTTCTATAAATTTTTATTTACATCCGTAGTTATACGCTAAAGGGCACACCATATTTTATGACTTCCTTGGCTTTTTTCTAATTAATTATTCAGCAACTGACGGGCTGAAAATTAATTTTTGTACATCAGTCTTGACCATCATTCTAGTAGGAATTTCTATTTGGCGCATGGCAGCTGTAGTTTCGATTTCTATGAGTAGTGCTATTTCTTATTTTACATTTGTTGTATTTCTCCAAATAACTGCATTTATCTCTGCAAATATATTAACAATATTGACCGCAGCAACATTAGACCTCATAAATCATTCTATGTCTTGGTTTAGCAATAAATGGTTGGTTATTGGGTTATATATATGTCCGACATTATTCGGATTAATATTACCAACATTACTTCATATTCACTACAAGTATAGCGTAAGTACTTTCAAAAATAATATAATTGATACATAACTTTGTGTATTTAAAGCATTCATTGCTGAGGCAGTATCAACTGCAAATGATTCTACACTCTCACAGCTTTCTGCTCTCCATTAGCTGCATGGTAACAACATCCTTAGGAATTCGTACATCGTACACCCTTATGATTCCAATATTATTTTATAGTTTTTCTCTTGTTGTGAATTTAATTACAACTCTCCATGATCACGGTAAATAAGAATAATTTTTATAACTTCCATGATGTATATGTTCTAATTATTATAGCTTATTTTTGGGCTATAACTGTTCTCATTGGTCAGATAATGCCTTTTTTGTACTTTAGTTATGTCACAGTTATATTCTTATTCACACTTATACCCATGATGGGACGCTATGGCACTGCTTTAAATCCAGATATTGTTATAGGTAGTCTTTGCTGTTTTGGAACATTATTAGCAGGAGGGTTTCTGGTAAGTCAGTCTGAGTTCTTGAAAACTGATTTACTTACTGTTTTATATTTCAGATACATTTATTTCATTTTTTTCGACGAACTAAATTGCTTGTTACTTTTATACTCATTGTCTACTTTGTATTTCTGATAATTGCTACAACACCAGTTGGGTTTCCATATAGATCTAAGACTAACGTTGACAGAGTCAATTTCTTGGTAAGTTTATTTCAAGATGTTTTTAAAAATAAGTCTCTTATTATGAACTTTTAGCACGTTTATCGAATTTTTTATGATTATGCTGGAAATATCAGTCTTAATGATAGCGGTTATTATTTCGATTTCCAGGATAGAAATGCAGAGCGGCCCATGAAGTGTATTTACTTTTCATTATTATAATTAAATGCATAATTACTTATTATTAAATATTTCAGTAATATTTCTATTAAAAATTATATTTTGTTGTAATTCTATTTCTTTCAGCTTTTATTGATTTAAGTTCTATGAAAAGCATTGATGAAGACTGTAAACGATACATGATGTGTGGACTTCCTTTATTTAATCATCGGATGTATGCTGCACGAAAATATGGAAAGTGGTTTCCCACTTATAACTCAACACAAATTTTACCTCTGCCTTCATTGCGCTTAATTGAAAAATATAATATAACAGATCTAACTTTACGGTATGAATTTGAGCTAGAAGGACCTTCTCATATGAGTATTTTTATTCAACCCTTTGATTATGCTTCTATATCCAACTGGTCATTTTTAAAGGAAAAACTTTTACGATGGCAACCACCATATCACATATATTTTTCATATGGTATTGATAGATCACCTTTGAAATTTTATTTAAATCTTACGGTTAGCGTCATTTTACTTACTGATAACATATTAAATCTGTTTCACGACCTACTCGTAGTAAAACTCGAATAAAACACAAGTAAAATATAAACTGAGAGCGTAACACACAGATTTTCATGAAACAGCTTTGTGTAAAGTCTGGTAAGAACACCAATGCCGCGCAAATAAACAATACAAAAATTTAAGTTCAAACCAAAACAGCTGATTCACATATCAACACAAATTTTACTTTAAAAAAATGTTCGAGTATAGCTGTGTAGCATTTTCAATTTTCGACAGGGATGTTACACTCTTGAACGCACTTGTGTATACACAGTGTTACTCAAAGTTACTACGAGTAGCTCGTGGAACAGACATGATAATTTTAAAACTAAAAAAACTTATATTCTTAGGCAAAAAATGGTACAATTGACGAAAACACACCGCTTTTCGAACTCGGTGTTGCTGCTCATTATATAAGTTACGAGCACAAGCGCGAAGAAAACGTCACAGCATTCATAGGAAAGTTTCCGAAATATGTACATGCAATGGAATGGCCAAGCATATATGAACGATACATATTTTGAAATACATAGATATGTAATTATAACATATATACATCACAGAAAACTTAAAACATTTACTACAAATTTATTGCATTTTCAGCGTCAGTAATGCTTAGGATGTATTCGTTTATACACACACATATTTATTTTCCTCAAAAAATTTCTTTTAGAGAAATCTAATATACAGGAGTTCAAGTTTTTAAGAGTTTATAATGTACACTTACGAATATATTCCGCAATAGATTTTAATTATGTTATAATGGGCTTGCCTTAAACTTTTATTTAAAATGAAAATTAAACCAAAAAAAATAAAATTACAATCAAGAAGTTTTCTATTGTTTCTTTTGGCATAAGCAATTAACTGTTCTTCCAGATCTAGAGGACATCTTACATCTTTTCTAGGGAAAAATGCTGATGCAACAATGATATCTCTGTTGTTGATTGTGATTGTTGCCGCGTACAGTAACATAGTCTGTCAACGGAAATAAAAAAACATTATGAAAAGCTGTACGTGTTGGTCTATTTAAGTTCTTGCATCAAAGCAATTGTAAAAATTGGTATAATAACTCCACTGGGTGAAGTGTTTTAAAATCCATCAAAATATCCCATTGTATGATTGCAAACTAAGCCCCCACACAGCCTCAAGGTGTATGCTCGGAAATATCAAATTTGTAGAAATATACAAATTTATAATATATAAATATATTTAATGTTACATATGCGTTTACATATGCCTTTTACTTTTACATTTGGTGAAACAGATAAAACAACAATTTCATCGAAATCAAATCTTGTCATTACCGACAATATAAGACAAAATTTCTCACGAATGCCGTATACATATTTTCGAATCTATATCTGGGTTGTCTCGTCTCATTATTCTGTCTTCTACAAGCGCCGATATTAGGATATGGCCCCGCAATGTACTTCACATCAAGTCCATAAATGCAACGTCACAATCATTCATCTATTTGTCATATAAATGTAAACGTCGGCGGTTCACTACCGCCATCAATCAACTGTACGTATATATCAATCGTCATTGACCGTTTCAGCAAATGGCCATAAGCGATTCCAATTCTGGATCAAATCGTTAAAACTATCGCAAACGCATTGTTAACTCAGTGGATCGCTTCTGATCCACTGGTGACGTTTTGGCGTATCGTTACATATTACAGCAAATTAAGGCAGATAATTTAAATCTTTCTTATTCAATAAATTTACTGAATTAAACGGTTGCAAATACTTACGAACTATGAGTTATTATCCTCAAAGCAATAGAATGATAGAACGATGTCATCGTATATTGAGACATTAAGGCTCTTTAATAATTAAACTAATAATTCGCATTGTAAAATTGACATTTTAAAACATAATATTGTAATTATTTAAATTAACATGTATTGCAATTACTTCTTTTTTTATTATATTTCATTTATATGTTTTCACATGAATTCTTTTCTTTATAGGCCGTTATCACATAAATTTAGCACTTCAATATATGTGTTTCCCTGTTAAATAATTAAATCAGGATATAACTTTTAGAAACTCTTTCTCCTTACTATCTTTTGAGCGATAGAGAAGAAAAAATTCAACACAATATACTTTTTATTTACATTTTACTTAAACTATGTACGTGCATAGACCCATTGTGTAAAATACTGCGATTCAAAAATTTATAATTAAGTTTGACGTTTGAAACTTCTGGCAACATTATTAAAAGTGCAACAGTGAGTTTTTGTTTATCAAATCACAAGTCAGTGAAATCGCTGCAGTAAGTGTTGTTGAATTAGGTGTTAATTATTGTCATTGACTGTTTGATAACAATTTAAACAAATTTTAAATGTAACATTAATAATGGAAGAAGGTCGCTACCGTTTACGTTCCGGTCCTTCTCATATTAAATGTTATGTTCTGTTCGTAAATGTCACTACTAGAAATGTAGATATTCTGTGGATTGATCCGGGAGGAATTGAAAAATTGTTTGCATCTATTAACCCTGGTAAAAAGGTTAAAGTGGATACATTTCAAACACATCCTTGGGTATTTAGAGATAAGGATACAGGAGAGTATATGCAAGTGGATCATAAAGATGTGTTTTGGCCAACGCCATGTGTTAAATTATTGCCAAACTTTCCACAAGGTGCTTTAAATTGTCGGAGGGCAGTTAACATTCATTCTCCAGTCCGCAGTTTGCGAGAAATATGTTTATGGAATATATTAAAAAATATATCGTCTGACATACTTACATTAAACAACGACAGCATTTGCGCTCTTGGCTTACCAGTAACACTTACTAATGAGCTGCTAGCAAAAGCGCGATCTATTAGTTTGTATAAGAAACTGTAATTATTAAAACAAAGACTGTAAACATTTAATGTTAGAATCAATATTTTATGAATTTAATGTTACAACACATACACATAATAAACACATTTAATATGAAATGTTTTATATTAAGTATAGTTTATAAATAGATATATGTATATAGAGTATAGTTTATATTTATTTACGAAGTTTGAACGAAATTTAATTAAAAAAGAATAGTGCTCTTGGTAAAAATATGATACTATTAGTGGAACATCTTTTAATTTATAAGTAGCATTGCTCGGCTTTACTGGTTATTTTATGACTTAAGTTTCTATGTTTGTTAAACAAACTCAAAATAAATCTATTTACTTTAATAGTATAAATAATATGTCAGGATAGAGCACAGATAGTAAACGTTAAATAAAAATATTTCGTTATAAGCAAACTTCGAGTTTTTTTTTTTTATATTTAATTATTTGTGAACACGCATATCTGCATAATACTACACAATAAGTTTATCAATATGTTGTAGTTTCACATACACTTCATATTTATATTAGTTTTGAATACAGATACATAATTTTTGGCATGATTGGATTAATTTACTAATAAAATTTGTTGCACTTTAAAATTACATAGAAGTATTAACTTGCATTTTTCGCAAAATAAATATGTAATATTAATTCGTTCCAAGTTTTCAAGTATTTCAGTTTGAAAAACTCAAATATCTTTCTCTTGTAATTTTAATAAAATTTAATTATTTTTAAATATTTATATTAATTGCAATCATTAATGTAATAAATATAAGCTACTGATACACTTTACATAAATTTTAAATTAGACACTTTTTGTTTCTAACACTATTTAAAACCAAATGTAATAATGGCTGTTAATATTATATATAGCTAATTACACATACTTAAGATCATATTTAACTGTAAAATAAGTTTTGAATAACAGATTAATAAATAAAATAAAAAGAAACACAGATATCTTCTACTATTTCTAGAGATTTCATTGTAGCGATGAATGAGTAAAAATTTTGGAATTCACAAATTACTTTTTCATAATTTGCCGTCATAACTAAAATTTGGTTTTGTTTTATACTGGAACGTTAAATCAGTTGACTGTTTCCATATGAAATGACGTACAGTACGTAAATCCATATTAGGATCAACGACCTAAAATTTTTAAGATTTGTAATTAATGTAACTTCACTCATTAATATCAGTAATTCTGATTATTTACCACATCATTGCACCATAACTCAATACGATCTTCTGCGGGTACTTGAGAACCTTCAGAATTTGCATCACTTTGACTATTTTGTGACGAATTTCCCCCACTGGGAGTACTTTCACATCCAATAACTTTTTCTAACACATGCTCACAGACTTTTCGACATTGTATAAATTCATTTGCGACAAGACGATCCTATATTGAAAAATTTATATTGAAAGTGGAGTGAGTCTTTCAGATTTGCAATACATAACCTTTTTAGTACGCTCTGGTTTAACCATTTGTGGATGTGGTTGCAAGAAAAATGGAATCTTCAAGAATTTTGGTATTGTTTTCTCTATAACAACATCCGTTACCCACTGTGGAACAGTCTCATGTAAAAGAGTACTCTCACTTTCTCCAGCAGCATCACGAACTAATAAACGACAAACTGTACGTCCACCTACTTCACTATGATTATAAAAACTGAATTATTTTATGAAAATTTTATATATTTATTTTAATATATACCTGAATATAACTGGGGTATGTTTCGGAACTTGGAAATACCCATTTCCTCTCACATCAGGCTCTAACTCATTTTGAGGCAAACTATGCGGTGGTGTCCAATGTTCTAATAAAGCCTCAAGAAGTAATTTCCCGTAATTAATCTGTAAAAAATTTTTATATTTAATGCAAGATTTGTAAAGATATTTTTAAAATATGCTTAAAGAAATAATATAATAAATCAGTTAAATAGGGTTCAAATCTAATTGCACCATGCTTCACTTAATGCACTACAAAAATATGGAAACAAAACAAACCTTAATTTCAGATGTTGGTTCTGCACACTCTGGTAGCCCAGCTTCAATTGAAACCCATGCTGAAAAGCAATCAATCTCATCTTGCCCTAATACTATAGTTGGCATCTATATATATACATAAATAAATCATTTAAATTTAATTTATGAAATACTTTTCAGAATATGAAATATCTTACCCCTGTCTTAAGATCAACAGTAAACCAATTTGGAATATAGACCTGCTTATTTCTTTTTTTAGTTTCTTCTTCGAACTCTACTTTACCCAAATCTTCTTTTTTTAAAATACGTAAAATATCATATATAGCGACATTATCTTCAGTATCTTTAGTAACGATATGTCTTTTGTCATTTAACACGCTGCATTTCTTAATAGCTGCACCACCTATGCTCATATTAATAATAGTGTTAGAAAATTTAAAACTAAAACCGTTTTTTAAAAACGAACCTTTAATGTTTGCTAACTCGGTACCGCTCCCAGAAAACGACCATACTGCATCCATGCCTCCACTGGACGTAAGAGATGTTTTATCAAAGAATGGAAGTTTCCAGCAACGAATATCTGAGTTCCATGTTGTTGCCCATACACCTGTCTTATCAATATTGTAGCATAGACTTAGAACTGGTGCCTGTTCTTCACATACTACGACCGAGTTACTTGGATTACGAAGCTCTGTAACAATAATATGTCTGTCTCGGCTACCCGAAATTACATATTGAAAACTTTCATTCATTAAAAGTGACCAAACACCTTCTTTATGAACATGTATTGTTTGGACACAACGCTGCTGTCCTATATTCCATATTTTGATCGTACCATCTGAGCTTCCTGAAATTATTTGAGTGCCATCCGGTGAAACAACAAGTGCGCGGACATTTTCAGTGTGCCCACGTAGTTTCATGCTTCGAGTACATGTACGAGGATCCCAAATACGCAAGATATTTTCGGTAGAACCACTTACTATAATTGTTCCTGAAGGATTCATCGCAAGACTATAAATTGAATCTTTTGAACCGGTAAGACTTGAAGCTTAAAAATATGATAAAAAATTATATAAATGCCAGATTACGATATATTAAATTCATACTTGTTACGGTGTTATTACTAGCAGTTAATGCGGTAAGCGTATTAACATCCCATAAAAATATCGCTTTATCCAGACCTGCACTTGCAACTTGTTCTCGATCTTTTGCATAAGCTAGTGCCTGCACATAGTCCCTATGCGTGCGTAAAGTGGACATACAAAATCCTTTTTGTGCATTCCACACCTTCACGGTAGTATCGCAACTTGCACTGATCACTGGCAGAAATATAAAATTTTATTTAAAAAAATTTATTTTAAATCAACCAAATTTTTATTCACAATTTCGTCCATTGCAACAGAGCACAATATCGTTCACCCAGTCATTATGGTGTTCCATGGACTGTATGTATTTTTCATTAGATTCAGTTTTAGTATTCCATACTCGGATAATAGCATCTCGTCCAGCTGAGTATAATTTCCCATTATTATAATCCAACTGCAAAGCGTTCACACCGTTTCTATGCTGTTTTTCCTCTGCGTCTCGAATAACAAAAGATACCTTTAACAAGTAGTTAGAGAATATATAAATGCAACATGCATCCACTAATTTTTACAATTGATAAAAATATTTATTGCATAAATCCAAAGTTCGTTAATTTTAAAATAAAAAAAATTACGAATTGGATATGTACCTGCATTTTTTTTCTTTGACAATTTTTGGTCGTCAACATTCTTTCCTGTAAGAAAATTTTAAAAATTCTCTTCCCCTCTCGAGTTAACACAATTTACAAAGTTATTTCTGTCGATTTTCATTTATATTATCACTTTTTATTTACTATCGTTCAGAAAAATCATGTTCCTTTAATCGAAAACTGTAAAAAATGTATAATGTAATTTTCACTCAATTTTCATCTTCATTTATCTCAATCAAAGTGGGCAAGGTTGCTATACCAATAAGCCGACAATAGATAAAGCTACTACTATTGGCTAACAGGGCGCACAGGTTGTTAAACATTTGTGTATATTCAAATTGAACATTTATAGTTCAATAGGATACCTGTTATTTTTTTACATTCAAATAATAAGTTTAACTTAATGTTAAACTTAGTGTGACATGTATGACTAATAAAAAAAATTTTAATCCATTCAGAACTCAATATTGCGAAGTTTTTTTTTAGTAATTGTATTAACCCAGGTTTTCACATATGTTTAAAGTCAACCACAAATATTTCCGGTGATTATTCTTACAGCTGTAAATCTATGACAATACTTTTACACTATCACAGTTAACTCAACATATACACAGCAGTTTTATCTTCAAACAAAATCCATAAAAAAGTGTTTTATTAGCTTATAAACCTATAAGTAATTATTAGGTCTATTCTCAAAAGTCAAGCATATGTAACATGCGAATAAAACATATTTTCTCTCTGACACAAACTGTTCACACGGAAAGTACACAGTACATATGTAATAATATATAAAAACTCATAATAAACTAAAAAGTGTTTTGTTTAAATGAAGAAATATGGTTCTTAAATTGCAAATGCATTTTTTATTAATTTTAATCTTAATCACAGCAATGGATTTATTTCATTTATACATATTTTTCAGTACGTGGAATATATATTATTCATTATTTATTATATATTCAGAAAAAAGATCCACCAGCAAACTGCTGCGTTCCACCAGCAAATTTTCGAGTAAATGAGATCACCTGAGAGAGCGAAACAGACTTTACTCGTACATTTTATTTCATGTTTGAATTTAAATTTTTATATTGTTTATTTATTCTCACCAAACTTTTCACAAAGATGTATCATGAAAATCTGTGTATAGAGTGAAATTTGACATTTTATTTGTGTTACGTTCTCAGTTTGTACTTTACTTGCGTTTTACATGAGTTTCACTACGAATAGCTCGTGGAACAGACCTACAATATAAGTGAGTGGTTTACATCTTAAAAAACTTGTAGTAATGTAAATGATAGGAGCAGAATTTGGATATCAATAAAGTTGGTTTAAAGATTCTATCTATTTGTACTTACCATAGTAATTATATGATGACAAAACATTCACTGTTATCGTTCTTTTCAACATAATTTGTAATAAAGTAAAGCATGATATAGAAGATGTTACATGTATGCAAACCAAGTATAACGTGCTACCAAATCATACTGTATATATTCAAATATGCATTATACTATGTATGCGGTATAATTACAACTCGTTTCACTGTAACGCAAAGCGGATAGTTGATCCGTACATACATGTAGCATTCTCTATACCAGGGCTATCCAAACCAGATGCTGTATAGATCACTGTATAGATTGGGGGCCGCAGAAGCAAATACATCTGTTAATACATAGTCTTATTAGTTTTACACCAAAAGAAAATTTGCGGTGTTCCCAATAAGAAATAATGGTGTTGAAATTCCACCACCTAGTCATAATAAAGTTTGTGTTGCTGTACAGCGCCTTAAGAACAACAAAGCAGCAAGCGCAGTCAGCTTACCTGCAAAATTGTTCAAGCCAGGCGCGATATGCTGATAGAGACCATGAGCTTATTTGCGTCAATTATCATGTAAAACGACCTTTTGTTACTGTGTATGAACGATTTTCAGAGCGGCCTGGCTTTAGACCTGGTCATTCCACCATTGACTAAACCAGATGATTCGTTACTAATAAGTTTATACTTATTACCATTGCTTTTAATTCATTATTCATTTTAATTTTCAATTTTATTTTATTTATTTTTCTGCAAAATGTAGTTTGCTTGAATTATGTTGTTGTCCAGTGCTTCAAAGTGAAGTTTAATATGAATTTGGCACACTACTAGTATAGAGAAATTTCACAGTCTGGCAGCATCGCACATTTTATTACAAGTTTATTTGCATACTATTTAACATTAAAATATCCAATCATTAAGTATTAAAGTTTATTGTGCGTTGTAATATTAATATATAATGGCTATTTGTATATCAATAGTTGGGAAGGATGTAAATACCTAATCATATTTATATCGATTTTTAAAATATGTAACTTATGACATTACAGAATGCTCCACTATATTTTTCTACATCGGACATGGAAAAAGAGCTAGAGTTGCAGTATAGAGTACATGCAGCACTTGATGTAGTGGAAGAAAAATGTCAGCCGTCCAACAAGGGAACATCTGACTCGAAGGAGTTGTACTTGGGACTTTTATATTCTACAGAAGCTAATAAAATGTGGGTGACATGAATTTATGGGTTGTTAAAATAGTACAAATATGCAAATATATTGTATTGTAGTTACGGTTTCGTTACGAATTCTAAAATAAAATTTATTGCTGTGGTTGATTCTGGAAATATAGCATTGCGAGAAAATGAAGTGCGCTCGGTAAATTAAATCATTTACTATTTATTTGTAAATCTTATATGAATATTTACAGATGTTTAGAAATCTACATGTTTTATATACAGATGCCATTTGTAATCCTTTTCATATTCCGGGAGAACAGTTGATGTCAAAGTCAGTGCATTAAATTAAAAATGTGAACTTAATTAAATCTTTTTTTTTTCGGAATATAGAAAATTTGATCGAGCAGTTCACAAAATAATGAATGGAGGTTCTTAAATCTATGGAAAACATAATGTTGATAAATATTTTATACAAATGTGTTAATTGTACATTTTTAATACAATTAATATATTATAAATCTTTCCAAATATTACCCCATACATAAATATAGAAATGTTTTATAAAAATCGTGTGATGCTTATTATATCAAAAATGTTAGAAAAAAATAGTTTTACTTAGTCATCGTTTTATAAAATAGTAAAAAGAGTTTATTAGAATGGAAGGGTTCTAATTAATGTTACTTTGGTGTTTATGATAGTAAAATTAAATAAATTCTTTCATTTCACATCTGTTTTGTTTTTTATCGCAGCAATAACATCAACACAAAAGTTAGAGCAAAGAACATCTTACAAAAATGGAAACTATAAATAAATAAAAATGGAAACAGTTGTGTTCAGAAAAATTTTGTTAGTGCAAAATACACCTTACCGATTAAGGATCATTTCATCGACTTCTTCGTTTATACAAGCTAGTACTTATTATTTTTAAGTAGAGAATACATCAAAAAACAAAAAATTAAGATGATATCATTTTTAGTTTCTTGACATATACAATTTACTCTAACCATATGTAACTTAACACCCTGAATATACTGCATTGCTTTCCCACCGGGATTATTGATGATGAGTCTGCAACTGTACGCGTGCAAGAGCTATTACTTCTTAAAATGCAGAAAGAGCAAATGTAAGAAAATATGCAAATTACATTGTATGCACTTTGTGACGCATTATTTTCTCTCATTGCTTATTAAAACCAGTTTCAAATAAGAGAACAGTGACAATGCATAAAATACATTATTTTATTAAAAACAAAAATTTATTTTTTATCAAAATGTAAAATTGTTTAGTTTTAAAACAAGACTCTATAAAGAAGGAATGACTTTTGGTATAAAGAAATCCCAAAAACACTATTTTGTAATTCACATAAATGATTTTAGAAAAATATATGAGAAATCTTTTTGCTACAATTTAAATCAATTTTTAAATATTTTTAGTTGATTTTTACATACATAGTCAAACATATCCCCTAAATAAATAAGTCAGAGGACTGAAGAATAATGATTCTATTGTAATTATTGTTAAATGGCGTTAAATTGCAATGGAAGTCAAAAATTTATTGGATATTCTTTTAGATAATTTGGATTTTGGTTGAGCCGTTCACTCGTTGTTTTCACTGAGACCTGTTTAAAGTCTTTCAACTGCTTGTCTGCTATACCAACATTGGATAACTGTGCATGCATTCTCTTTAATCTTTTATGAGTTCGTGTGATCAAAGTGTAGGAAAATATGTGGGCAAATACTCCAATCTTTATAGATAAAAACCAATTTTTTACTGTGCAACAACAGTAGAAGTTATCTAATTTTTCTTAGAAAGCAAAATAACGGTCCTCGAGGAGACGATGAAGGCGTTTTGTCGACAAGTACAGAAGTTCTCTAACGTAGTATAGGAATAAGGAAGATATGCGGAAGAGGTGGGGTTGTTGCGCAAGCGCGGCAATAGGTTAATTGTAGATTCTGTGACTAGGGTCACGAGGGCCACGGTTATAGAGTGGGTCAATGGAAGCATCTTGATGCCCCTCATCGAAGTATAACGTCAAGTATTCGATTTAGTAATAAGTTTACGGTGCATGGTTAAAATTTGTCAGAGAATAGAGTATCAGGGGTTAAGCTGTCGGAGTGGATTATATAACCGGGTGTGGTGCTACGGGGCGAGCGTAGGAGGTGCGAATGCTTGTGCTTGTAGTGTGCAGAATTTCGAAGGACCTTGCTTTGTTATTCATTCATACCAAGTCTATCACGAGCAGCATTGATAGACTTTTCTAGGGACATACTTTTGTGGAAATCTTAGCCTACTCTTGGACTTCCCTTTGAAGAGCATATAGGCTGTACTAAAAAAATAAGGTGGTTTATTATTAAATATTATTATATGGAAAAGCCGAAACTAGCCCATATGTAGCAATAAGTTCCTACTTACTAAAAAGATCATTCCCCTTTCTACATAATTTTTAAAATTTTATACAATACTTTAAAAATACAATATGACTTTATTCGGATGTCCAAAATGTGGTACAAACAAATAATAAATTATTTATATATATAAAAATAATTTTACTATATATGCATATATATTAAAATATTTCCAATATTATATTGGAAATATATAAATATTTACAATTATATTTTAATAAATACATGCCATTGAAAACACATTCCATTTAAACATATATTTTGTAGAATTTTTGACATTTACGGTCAGTAAGATTCATATTCAATTTTCATTTGCTAGTATAGGCTGAAATATATATAGGCAAAATATTAAAAACCATAATTACAACGATGTTTTGTTTTTTAACATAATCATTTTGAAACTAATTTGATTGAAAATATTATTGTCAATAATATTTCAAAAAAAAATTTGGAAAAATTATTCACACAAAATGAATGTTTTTATTATAAATTGTGTTTTATAATTTAATTTCTTTATCATTATGAAGATGAATTACTACTTACAAATATTTTAATTAACACTTTCATATCTGTTATTCCATCCCAGCGAACATTTTCAATCGCGGAAGAGTCTTCCGCGAATCGTAATGCTGAGCAATTTAATCGCGGAAGAGCACGTCTGAGAGTCTCAGACGACGCTTTCATTGTGAGAACTTGTCCGCTCATCCGCGATTCGCTTAGAAGCGTAACAAATGAGTCTTCTATTTGAATCGCTTATGCGTCGCTTAGAAGCGTAACAAATGACCCATCCATATACATCGCGTGTGCATCGCGGAGAAGCGTAAAAACTTAATTTTTTTGTGCACCGTAGAGAAGCGTAAAAATTTACTTTTTTTGTATGTATCAAGGAGTAGCGTTATTCCGATACTCGGAAGAGATAGAAAAGAAACAGCGAAAATAAAATTTAAAAGAAGTTGAAGTTAAAATTGTTGGTTTATTAAAATGACTGGTTTCTTATTGGTTTATTTGTAAAATTATTTACAAAAAAAAAAATACATATATAATGAAATAAAATACTAAAAACTAAGTATTAAAAATAGTTTATATATCTTATTGCTAACTTAATGCTAATATTAATTAAAATTTTCAAAATATTAGATATTAAATAGATTTTAATTTAGATATTAGTTATTTTATTAAGGACACATTTCATTGTATTTAGTACGTTACATATTTAAAGTTATTAACTTTGAATAATAAGATATCAAAAGATTAGTTACCTATATATATATATTAAAATTTTTTTTTAAAATTATTTTATTAAAATTTATTTATTTAATAAGATATCAAAAGATTAGTTACCTATATATATATATTAAAATTTTTTTTTTTAAATTATTTTATTAAAATTTATTTATTTAAACTTCACACACAACTGTAACACTCCAATTGCACTTTAATATTAACAAAGTGAAGCAAAAGCGACATATGTAAATATTATGTTACAGAAAAAACAAAAAGAGCAAATACACAATTTTGAGAGAACAATCGCTTAACCATCGTCAAGGCGAGTCATAAGCGACGCATTTTGACGATTGGCGTCTAAATGCTAGCTGGGATATATACTGTGTCATAAGTGCAAAACACTTATGACCAGGGACCGAAAATAACAGTTATTTTAAAATTTTTTATGAAAAAAAGCAGCAACAAAAAGTTGTCTAAACTCTTATTTAAGTAAATAGTTATCATTCTAACAACTTTTATCCTTAATATTATGCATGCTTTTTATATATGAGGTTTTTAAAATAAAACTCAAAAAATAATAATTAAATTTGATTTTTATTATATTCATCAAAAATAATAATTATTATATGCCTTTTATTTTTTTCGCGCAGAAATAACTCTTAAAATTTGCTTCTTATTTTAAAACGCACAAATAACTGGTATACTTGCGTTATATAATATAAAAAGCAAGAGTATCGCGCAAATTCTGCGCGATATTTTTAAAATGAAAATATAAAATGCAATTTTCATACAAGGTAGTTGTTTTTGTAATTCCATAGAAAATGTTTGAAAAGGTTGGTGCAGGTAAAGATTTAGTTCAGTTTTTTGTTTTTGTATTTTGGATTCATATTTTGTATTTATATTTGTATTTTGTAGGAGAACAAATTTGTATGCAAAATACAAAAACAAAAAACTAAACTAAATCTTTACCTGCACCAACCTTTTAAAACATTTTCTATGGAATTACAAAAACAACTACCTTGTATGAAAATTGCATTTTATATTTTCATTTTAAAAATATCGCGCAGAATTTGCGCGATACTCTTGCTTTTTATATTATATAACGCAAGTATACCAGTTATTTGTGCGTTTTAAAATAAGAAGCAAATTTTAAGAGTTATTGCTGCGCGAAAAAAATAAAAGGCATATAATAATTATTATTTTTGATGAATATAATAAAAATCAAATTTAATTATTATTTTTTGAGTTTTATTTTAAAATGCATATGATAACAGTTATAAGATGATTTTTATTTTTTTTATGATAACTGTTACGGTCCCTGCTTATGACACAAATTTACGTAAAACTTGAATGCAAAGTTTACCTTGGTTCCTCATTGTTGTCTGGGAATTTAGGTATAAAGTGATTTATAATATTTACATCCCTTAACACATTTGTTTCCCATGTTTTCATATAAATATTAAACTTTATTTTCACAGTTTATTATAGTTTTGGCTACAATATGCTGCTATGTACTTCCAATTTTAAGTACTTTTTATTAAGTATTTGTGCGGTAAATTTTGTATGATTTGGCGCAATAAAATTTTATATTTCTCTCATAAAATCAAAACCAAAAAACGAAATCAAACTCTTTCTTATACTCATCGTGTCAAACTTTTCGAAATATTCAGTTCTCAAAAGTACCTGCAGTATCGGAAAGAGATGTAAAGGTGAAAAATTTTAGTGATTTCAGCTGGTGTTAGTACACTTTTCACTAACACTTTCAGAGCTCCACGGCAAGTTGTTGTTGTGCGAAAAAACAAATTTTAGTTCACAATGGAGTTGTCGTTCTTGTAAGGTATTCTTTGATATATATATACATACATATTTTAATATGGTATCATACCACGTTAATAAAATTTTTAATATGGTGATACCGCCAGTTTTACAAAAACCAGAATTATTTTTTAGCCACTACTGTATAAATTTCACAAGAATGATCTCTCCATATATGAATTTCATCTGCTGCTAGTTGCTTTTTAAAAGCTTAGTATATGCTTGTAATTATCAGAAGCGGGTAGTGAAGTAATTTTATCTGAATCATTTTAAAAGAATTGTTTAGAAAAATTCCTAGAAATTTTTAAAAATGAACTTAATCACAGATAAGGCCTGTTTTAACATAAGCCTACGAAATGCCTGCCTCAGCATAGCTATATTTTTTCTGGTCTCGATAGTATTCGGTGTAATCTTTAATCCGGGATGTAAGTGAAACGTAAAATTTATCAAAATTTATTAAGAAATGCAAAAATATTTACTTATTTACTTGTGTGATCATCAGAATATGTGGTACCCACATACACACACTTGTATAGTCACTACCTGAGTATGATGTGTACAATGTTTGGTATTTGTTTGGAATATTTGTGCCTAAACTTGTTCCACAAACATTAAAAATTATTTACGTCGCGACATCAGAATTTAATGATCTCATCTCAAAAAGATGACACAAACTCTTTTCTCTCTATAAAATTATGCTAATAAAATGGATCTATTTACTTCTGGCTACATGTTAAATTTATGTTTTATGTATATTTTACAGATTTAAGTTACAGTACAACATTAATCGGCTTTATTATTGAATTGATTGGAAATTTGGCACTTCTTTTTGGTGTTCTTTGGGTAAGTATAAAAAATAAACATAAAAAATAAACATAAAAAATTGATATTTTAGATAAATCATTGGCTAGTGCTGGTATGGTTGATCAATGCGATATTTTTCTTCATTGGTTGGCCCATTGCTATTCTGGGAGTTATATTCAATTTTGGCTATTATCGGGCTGCAGCTATGTTTGATAATGTTTTTCTTATTCTAATCGAATACACTATCATCTTAGGTAATTTTAACTGTTAATAAATTTAATCATTAATAGGTTTAACAATTAAAAGCTATAATTAATTAAATTAAATTAATCTATATCACATGTTCATCATATCTGAAGCAATTAAGGTAATCTTTTCTGAATGTTGGATCATTTAAGATCAAATATGGATTTCTGCAAAATTTTGCATTAAATTGCAAATACCTTTTCAAATTATTCCACCACTTGAAGTTAGGTTTCGCCGCAGGGTTATATTTATTTCCAATACTATCATACTATACCTAATTTAGATTTTAACCCACCAAAATCAACATATTTTTTTTTTATTTTTAAATACTTAATTTTAGATTTAAAATGATATTCCAACTTGCGATCCAAGTATGTCGTTATATTCAAATTTAAAAAAACATTATGTGAGTACATTTAGTGAATTTAATTTTAACGTTCCTTTTTTTAAGACATTTAAGTTTGTAATGGCAAAATTATCTGCATAGGTAGCAACTTATACATTTTCAGGAGCTGGAATATCAGATATAAACGGTATACACAAATGTAATCACAATACAGTATCATTAAGTACTTCAACTTCTATTGAATTAATTTAAAATATCTCACTACTTCACTTGAATTAAAAATATTTGAAATTTGATTTTATTATTATGTTGAAGCTCTTTGAGCCAGTGCACTTGAGCACTTTTACTCTTTCTTAACTCGAGGTATTTTCAAAAGCCCTTTTTACGCCTTGACTGGATTATTGTTTATCACTTTATCAGACTAGGCAATAATTGACCTCAGATCTGCATACCTCCCTGAGAAACCTGAGATTTGATAACGTGGTGTTGGTAAGTCTGTCAGTTTTCGCAAATAATTTCAGAGCTCTATCCTTTATGTATTTTTTGATCGTATCAATCTTGAGGTCCCTGAGGCTGTCATTCGTCCTAATGTACCATGGTACTTTGAAAAGTCTTCTCAAAGCCTGACTTTAATTACTAGCTGGCGAATAGTAGTGTTTAAAGCTTTGCTAAACGCTACAAAACTATATAGAAGTAACGGACTAATTATTTGGTTATATATCAGCTTCCTGTTCTTAGCATTGAGATTTTCATTTCTGAAAATGAAATCTGTTTTCCACTAAATTCTTATTATGTTATTATTGACACTTTTGAGACCATTCAATGGAATATCATAAGAAAAAAAATTAAGATTCCTTAATCATATTTTACGTTTCACAGACTATAAAAATTTATAAGCGTTGTATCATCTCAAGGGCTCCCATCTTTCATACGGATGTTAGATCCAGTAAGGATAAAGTCTTCATGCAGGTTTCTCATGCCTGATTTATTTTCAAAACATAAGGCTTTACCTATACAAACAATTAAAATTCTATATTCATATATGTACTGGTTTTTTGAGAACAGGAACCCACAGTAAAATATCGTAGAACTATAAAAAAGGGTTTTTATTTTAATATGGAAATAATTATACATCAATATTTAAAGAGCATTGTGTTATTGAGTTTTAGGCAGAAATAGTCAAAAATGAAAATAAACAATGAACTTTTACTAAACTTGACTTTATACATTTTTTATGTTGTTAAAACTTTTTTATAAAAATTTGTTTTAGTTATTATCTATATAAAAATCATCAACGTTTCAAAGTTTATCTGACTTCTTCCTCAAGTAAAAGTGTAACTACAACTGATTGTTCTTATTTGTATTAATAAGAAAATTTGGTAGAGTTGACGACATTTAAGTCTAGGTTGAAATTTAAACAAAAGAAAAGATAATTTTCGTAAAAAATTATTAAAAATTATTTGCAAATAAACTAAGTGACTTACTAACTATATAACATTTTATGAATATTGATTTTTATTTTAATTCCATAACTTAATTATAATAATTTTTGTATTTTAATAATAACATATATAGAATATTCGCATAATAACATGGCTTTCTGATTCTACGTTTCAGTTATCTTTGCGTACTGTACCCACCTCGTGTACTCCTACTATCATGAACTGAGAAATAAGCAATCAAACCCGCAGCACTCCGTTGTAGTTTAGTGGTTGCAAGTACATATAAGAGTACGTATAATTTACGCTTTCTAATTTAACTTAAGTTTTTGAAAATTGTATACTTAATTGTTTATTAAATAAAACTATGTAAACCCTATATATTTTATAGGGTTTATATATTTATCAGATTATTTTACAAATTCTCAAAATAACATATCAATAAAAATATTGTATACACACAAATAATTTAAACATAAATATTAACAAAATTTAAAAAAAAATTGTAATGTATTTTTTATAAATAAATTAATTTACAATATAACTTTTGTTGTTTTAATTTTATTTGAAGTTTGTTATTATTATTATTATATACAATATAATAGCATTTATTCTACATATAATTTAACTTTATTTTAAAAATAAATAAAGTATTCATTCATTTCTTTTATGTGATCTGCATATACTAACGCTTGGACTCATTTGTGGAATATAGTTGTATCAGGACTTACTTTTGATTATTTAATGTATTCTACCAGGATGAGTTTGACGAGAATGCGTCAACATTTATACATTTGCCGAACATTGTTTTATTACTCAATGAATTCGTCTAAGTTAACAGTTTAGTCTATTCACACGGCACAAGATTGTCTTTATTAACAATTCATGTGAATTTTTGCTGTTTTACAAATGTTAGATTACACAGTACTTCTACAATTTCGATGAAATTATATACTTCATTGGCATGTTTTTTTCAAACATAAGATTCCGGTTTCTATCAGAAAATAAGGTCGTGTGAATTTTTGGACCGATTCAATGCAATGTAACAATGTTACATTGTAACTTCGCCATTAACATTTGCGGTGTGAATTAATTATTATGGACATGTCATCTACCGAACTACCTGATTCTGTCTAGTTATCAATCTTCGTTTGTGCAGTCAATTTTAAAACTTCATACGATAGTCGTTATCAATCAATATAAGAATTCACAATTACAAATTCTGATATATTGAGAATTAAACTATATTATAACTATAAAGCGTAGTGGGAAAGGAAAAAAAATATATTGAAGTTTACCAAAATTCATTATAAAATTCCAGTATCCGAAAAATCAAAATCTTCATACTATTTTTATTGTTTTAACTAATTGAATCAATGGACGAATAGGCCTAAGTAGATCCAGTAGGGATCGCCGTTATAACCTAACCTAACCTAATTATTTGAACAAGGCTTATTTGAACAAGGTTTGTACCGTAATATCTAGTTAATATTATATTATCTTCGGTCCTTTTGTAAAGCCAATTGGATATATTTGTACAATGATTCTTAAAGGCTTCTGATAAATTTATCCATCTGAGCAACTCACCAATATAGTCAATATTAGGCAAATCACAATAATTACAATAGACTGCCAAACATTTCCTCTAATTATCTTTAAAGACATGTAATAGACAATTATTCCTATAGTAAGCAAATGAATTACACTTAAGTATAGACTAAAAACACTTTACTAATAGACACTCATTTTAATTAAGAAGTTATAGTAATAAAAAATGGACAAGGCAAGAGCATACATATATCTAAAGGTATTTAAAATTTAAGAGTTTTAAAAACCGGTATCAAAATAATGTAGTTACATAGTCGAAAATCAACATTAATGACGCAATGATCTTAGTTGAATCTTTGCTTCCCTATTTTAGATACAAAAAGAAACTAAATAAGGAGAAAGATCGGATTAGGAAAATACTAGGCAGGGCTAAAAGAACATTGGATTATTAATACTTATTCCTTTAATATAAAAATTTCAATACATTTTTCTTGCAAATGATGAACCATTATATTAAAATAATTTTGGCACAGAAAATGTCTTCACTATATAAAGAGTCATAGTAAATAGTAAAAACATAACAAAATATAAATAATATTACAGGACTACATAGTTTTATAATAAGTATTAGAACAGGCTCTTGATGACACAAGACACTTAAAAGATAATATGTGATAAATTTCCTCTCAATGATGTGGCAGATATTCATGTTAAAATAGGCAAAGAAAAATTATTCTCATGTCCATACTTAAAATGTATTTGTCACAAATTTTCGAAAGTGATTTTTCACAAAAAATTGAGAAGAATGCCGACCTTCTTGTTTATACCGAAGCTGAATATTTACGGTAGTTTTACTATGAATTACTACTTACCTTTCTGAAATTAAAAATTAAATGGCGACTAGCTGAGACTTGAAAAAACGTTCAAGATTCAACAAACCTAAAAACATGGATTTGCACCAGATGTATCCTTTATTGCCCAATTATATCCATTCATTTTGCCTGTTGCAATTTTTACGTCTGGATGTGTATAATGTTCAATATACAGCCGATGAGGTTTCAAACTTTTCGGCGTATGTTATTATTCTAATATGGACTTCCTGCTTCTTTTACAATGACAAATTTCCAAATATGGGTATTTTGATTTTCAGACAAGAATAAAAAAAATAAGAAGATGATTACCAACGGTAGTCGGTTGAAGATATTTATCTATTCTTATAAGGTCATTTATTTTTAAAATTGCTTTTTTATGCATTCG